ATTTTGGACCATCCGAATCTTCTGGGTCATTGACTTTGGAAGGCCAGCATATAAGGCATTGCAATAGTCCAACCTCGTGGTGACTGTTGCGTGGATTACCGTTGCCAATGCTTCTACCGAAAGGTAGGATGCCAATTTCCTTGCCTGGCGAAGATGAAAAAAGGCCTGCTTACTTATGGCAGTGATCTGGGCCTCCATCGTCAGCGATGAGTCCAACACAACCCCAATGCAGGCAATGCAGGGTGTGGGGCAAAGGGTCCCCCTGCCGGGCCCCAATGCATGATGCATGGTGAATCCCTATGTCAGGGGTCCTCAAACTAAGGCCCGGGGGGCGGATGCGGCCTTCCAAGTTCATTTACCCGGCCCTCGCTCAGGGTCAACCTAAGTCTGAAATGACTTGAAAGCACACAACAACAACAACAACAACAACTCTATCTCATCAACCAAAAGCAGGCCCACACTTCTCATTGAAATACTAATAAGTTTATATTTGTTAAAATTGTTGTTCAATTTAATTATTGTATTGTTTTTAAGTGGGTTTTTTTGCACTACAAATAAGATATGTGCTGTGTGCATAGAAATTCATCCATGTTTTTTTCAAATTATAATCCGGCCCTCCAACAGTTTGAGAGACTGTGACCTGGTCCTCTGTTTAAAAAGTTTGAGGACCCCTGCCCTATGTTAATGTGATAAGGTCCCTAGAGAACACCTCTCTAGGAATCTCTATTTATTTATTAATTATTTATTTCAGATATTTGTACCCCGCCCTTTTCTCAAACCCCCCCCCCCCCCCCCCGGCGGCTTCCAGCTAGCAACAATTTCATGCCTCCAATGTACACATAATAAAATACTTAATAAAATCCAATAATTACATACATTTAAAACATTAAATCACATCAATTAATTAACCTTTTTCTCTTTCCATAACAGCCTGGTGGCCTTATCTGAGCCGAATTCTGTAGTTAGAGACTCCATCAAGCATGTCCATAGTCCATTTCCATAGCAATTGTCATCATTGTCACTGTCATTGTCAGCAAGATTACCCGAAGGCCTGGTCCCACATCCACATTTTTAACTTCTTTCTAATGGAAAAGAGGGACGTTGATAATCTAATTTCTAATCTAATGGGTGTGAATTCCACAGGTGGGGAGCCACCACCGTGAAGGCCCAGTATCTTCTCTGGGTTCTTCCGTGCAATTATTTGTTCAGCTTCCAGTGGAATTTGACCATACAGTCATGCTGTAAGACCTAGACATTCTTAGAGGGGATTTCCCTCAGGTTAAAAAATAGCAATTTCTTTATTTGCGGTTTTCCACTTTCACAGAGCCCTATGCCCCTATCTTCAACAAATGCAGAGGGCTGACTCTATGTGTGGACTTAAGGGTACCAGTTGTGTCTTTAGTTGTGTCCTGAAAAGTGCAGACATAAGACAAACAAGTCAGTCTAATTTTGGACTGAAATCTTCACACATCCCCAAACCATATTCCAGTTCCTCTTTTCTCATCTGCCTATACTGGAAGCCTGGGGACAACATTGGAAAAAGAACAACACACCCATAGCTGAAGAGGGGATTATAAAAGCTTTGAAAAGGACAGAAATGGACAAATTGGCAACAAAACTCAAGGGGGAAAAAAAATCAAAGGACTGGGAACCATTTTAAAACTTTATTATAAAAGAGAAAGACACACAATACTACATCTGCCTGCCACCTCAGGAGGAGAAGGAGGAAATCCTGCTGCTTCTCCCCCGCCCCAAGCCAGCTTCTCCCCTGTCCCAAGCCTTTAAAAACACCTGTCTCCTGGCTGTTGCTTACTACATCTGCCTGCCACCTCAGGAGGAGAAGGAGGAAATCCTGCTGCTACTCTCCCCCGCCCAAGCCAGCTAAGAGGCGGAAGGGGACTGAGGAAGACTTTAAAAACACCTGTCTCCTGGCCGTTGCTTACTACAACTGCCTGCCACCTCGGAAGGAGAAGGAGGAAATCCTGCTGCTACTCTCCCCCTCCCAAGCCAGCTAAGAGGAGCAAGGTGACTGAGGAAGAGACTTCAAAAACACCTGTCTCCTGGCTGTTGCTTTTTATTTCTTTCTTTTTTAAAATATAATTTTTATTGATTTATGTGCTTTACAACAGTAGTCAAAAAGGTAAGCACCTTTAAATAAAATAGAAAGTAAGTAAATAGAAAGGTAAATAAAATAGAAAGTGGAGGAAGAAAGAGAAAGAAAAAAAAGAAAAAGAAAGAAAAAGAAAAAGAAAAAAACAAGAAGAAAAACAAATCCCCGGATGATTCCCTTTAGTACCCGTTGTGCCCGTGATATGACTTCCCAATGTCTTCTGAGAGTATCTCAAGAGATAGGGAGACCTATATCTTCTCCTTGTGTTCATTCTTGTGTTCTCAAGTCCGTTTTCCAGCTTTCCTTCTGTCATTGATGTTTTTTATATGCTGGATAAGTCTAATAGTATTGGAACACCTCTTGTTGCTTAATATTTCTGTTGTGATTTTATATTGTATTTAATGTTTTTATGTGCATTTTTATATTATGTATATTACTTGTTGCCTGTAAACTGCCTTGAGTCACTGAAAGGCTGAGAAAGGCGGTATACAAATACAGTAAATAAATAAATAAATAAATAAATAAATTTTGGATCGAGGGCTTTGAATACATTTGAAGTAGGAATAAATCTATATTGGAAATATCTACAAACAACATTTATTTATTTATTTACTGCATATATATATACCGTCCCTCTCAACCCGCAGGTGACATGGGATGGTTTACAGTTGGTACCCAGACCGTAAAATACAATTTCAATATAATAAGACAATCAAATAATAAAACCATAACAGAATCAATAAAATCAATAAAAACATGTATCATTAGGGTCTTCTCGTTAAAAACATCGTCCAATCACATCATCAAACCATTCCATTTTCCTATGTCTGTTACACTGTATTTGCAAAGCCTGCTCAAAAAGCCAAGTTTTAGCTCTCTTCCAAAATGTTAAAAAGGAGGGGGCTGATCTGATGTCCTTAGGGAGGGTGTTCCATAGCCGAGGGGCCACCACTGAGAAGGCCCTGTCTCTCGTCCCTGCTAGCTGTGCTTGTGATGAAGGCGGGACCGAGAGCAGAGCCGTAGACGATCTTAAAGTCCTGTTCATAAGGACAGATGCGTTAAGTTGGGCCAGAACAGTTCAGACAGCTAAGTTTAGCCAAAGAGTTCAACTTAGCATTGTCATCTTGGAAGATTATCAGTTATAAGTTTTTAAAGTAGTAATGTCTCTTACCCAGAAAATGGGAAACCAACAGAGAAAACGCGGGGAAGGAGAGGAAATCTGTCAGGGGTGCTTTGAATGCGATTTACCTGCTTCTTGGCAGTGGGTTGGACTGGCTGGCCCATGAGGTCTCTTCCAACTCTGATTCTATGAAAGAATGGTCCCATTGTATGACATTTTACAATGAACAAAACATAACTGACTGGCGAGAGTGAAATAATGTTCCTCCTTCTGATTTTAGGTTGTGGCGTCTGTGATAGACAAAGATGAGTTTGCAGGCTTTGCTCCCCTTCAGCCCCAGGTAAGACCAAATTGCTCCCTCTATCCGACTCACCTATAATGATAAATGCTTCCATTAGGCAGAAGGAGTTGGCCAGGTCAAGGGAAATGTGCTGGGCAAGTTCCTGGACCAATTCGTGAGGTTAGCAGTGCTTCCTTTTTCACGGGCTTGATCTTGATGGAGAGGCAATGCAGGGCAATGGGCTCAGGGCACGCACTCCATAAGGCATTGCATGTGGGCGTTTTCTCACTGTTCTTGTGATGCAGGGCAACAATAGCATGTCCATATTGCAGCATTTGACTGAATGAAGCATCAGAAAGTCAAAAATACTCAGAAACAGGTTTAATATTTGAGGTACCAAAATGTGTGTTGGCCAGTGTGATTGCAATCTGGAAAGTTGGAAGTAACATATAACCTTTTTTGTTACTGTAGATGTAGTACATTAGCAGTAGAGCGTGTGTATCTATGTAATTTTTGTAGTTGTGACATTTATTTTGTTTTCTTTTTGTGTGTTTTTGAACATCTATAAAGTAGTTTATGTAGTTAAAATATGTGTGTTAATAAAGATATTTTTGAAAAAAGAAATAAAAATGCTGCTTCTTCAACACACTAACTAAGATACTAATTTTCAAGAGCTTCGTTGTGATAAAAATGACAGTATAACCTGGAAGGGACTTCCAGGTAATGCTAATTTATGTGGTGTGCTGTTGTTTGATTTAGGCATCAGATCCACCTCCCAGACCGAAAACACCAGAAACTCTTAGGTAAGATCAATAAAATTAAGATGATGGCAGCACATCACAATTGTCAGGTTTTACAATGTATTGTAATGTAATATAGCTGAGCCATGCACTGCTAATAGGCTTCTATTGGAAATGCTGAGTCATGCATTAACTGTATATAGAACTTCATTTGGGGAATGTGTTCTGGCCTAGTCCAGGTGATTGTGAATGATGTAATCCTGGGTCTGAGTTAAGTTAATGAGTTGGGAACCAATCAGAGATTGTTATGTGTAATTGTATAGAACTGTATATAAGGAAGTCATGTACAGTGTATATCTCTCTCCTTGTGCTGTGATGTTGTTCGTCGAAGGCTCTATGTAATTGAATAAAAGAACCTGTCTACTAAGACAAGATATAACTGTACGCTGTGGTAAGTTTGTAATGTCATCTAGACTGGGGGAAAGACAATGGTAAAACTGACAATGGCCGGGCATGTGCTCATGTGTCTGTAAAAGGTTCCAGAGTGACTGCAGTTTGTAGGAGCAGTTAACTGAAAATACTGTGCAGGAAGAAACTACTGGAAAGCGCTGAAGTTGTGCAACTGATCTGCTGCTGAATTGTGAAATTAATCTCAACAAAAATATATATCGATGTGATTCAGGAAGACTTTCCCATAATTACACATAAGGACTTCTTAAACAAATAACCTCCATTTCTAATTCTGTTTACATGTGCAGTGCTCGAAGGTTTAGAAAACTGTCTCCATTATAACTAAGGAACTATAAATTAAGGAACTATAAGGAAGGTACTTTTCAGAAAAAAAGTGAGGGCATTCCAAATACAGACCACAAACATAAGAAATAGCTTCTGAAATTCAGATCAATGTCCCTGAGATTTTTTTACATAAATAGGTATAATTTGCCTTCTTTTCCCTCTGCTGGGGTTCAACTGTTTAATGCAAACATGGTTTTGAAACAATATTGTTAAAAACGTGACCAGTGCTGAATGAAAGGAATCTAAACCTGAGACACTGAAGCCTCAGTGTTGCACTCCAGGACAGGAAAAGCCCGCTGACTGTAAACACCACACCATTGATTGGAAAACAATCCTTTTATTGAAGATAGTTAAAAAGCACCAAGTAAAAAAGCACTTTAAAGAAATAGGTAAATCCAATTAGGTAAGAAGATAAGCAGGAGCAAAAATAGTCCAGGGTAAAGTTCAGCAAAGTCCATAAAAACAAAGTCCATGCTTCTGTAATATAATTCAGCCAACCAGGAAACACTCATCCAAGGCATGAGTAGGCATTCATACAATCCAAGAATCATGAAACAAGAAACACTTAGAAAAGAATCTTTCCAGCAAGGCTTCCATGAACAAGAACAAGAACTTCCCTTGATTCCAAACGATTCTTCATCTGGCTATATTTCCCACACTTATTTATTTATTTATTATTTGAACTTATATGCCGCCACTCCCCTGGGGCTCGGAGCGGCTTACAAGAATAGCTAAAATCTAACAAAATTTAAAAGCAATTTAAAACAATTTAAAAACAGCAATATCAAACATTAAAAGCCTGTCAAAACAGGTATGTCTTACATGCCCTGCGGAAAGCTGGTAAGTCCTGCAAGGCACGGACTTCAGGTGGCAGAGTATTCCAGAGTGATCGTGCCACTGCTGTGAAGGCTCTGCGTCTGGTTGCTGTTAGACGCAAGGTCTTGACACTGGGGACTTCCAATAGATCTTGGTCCTCAGAACGGAGGGATATCTGGGGTTGGTAGGAGGTGAGGCGGTCCCTCAGATACATCGGGAACTTTTATCTCCTCATTAAGCTATCCCCAGCACTCAGAAATTGGTTTTGCTTTAATTGAGATTCCCTTATCTTTTTCTGTTGGATTCTGACAGACCGCTGAAGCCACTGTTCGGTCTGCCTGTTTTGACTTATCTCCTGCCTCCTATCTATTTGCTTATTAAGTTTTGCAGCTGGGCTATACCCATAATTAGAAATCAGATTATATTTTAAAAAATGGAACAAAGATCTACTGAAATTTGTCTGGGATGGAAAAAGCCCAAGAATAAAGTATACAAATTTAATAGATAAAAAAACAAGAGGTGGACTAGGTTTCCCAGACTTAAAAATTTATCATGAAGCCTGTGCACTTTCATGGGTGAGGGATGACATTAGGAAAAGAAAAATGCTTAAACCTAGAGGGTCATGATCTACGTCAGGGGTCCTCAAACTTTTTAAACAGAGGGCCAGGTCACAGTCTCTCAAACTGTTGGAGGGACGGATTATAATTTGAAAAAAGCATGAATGTATTCCTATGTGCACTGTGCATATCTTATTTGTAGTGCAAAAAAAAAAACACTTAAAAACAATACAATAATTAAAATGAAGAACAATGTTAACAAATATAAACTTATTAGTATTTCAATGGGAAGTGTGGGCCTGCCTTTGGCTGATGAGATAGGATTGTTGCTGTTGTGTGCTTTCAAGTCATTTCAGACTTAGGTTGACCCTGAGTGAGGGCTGGGTAAATGACCTTGGAGGGTCGTATTCGGCCCCCGGGCCGTAGTTTGAGGACCCCTGATCTATGTGATCTACATTTCATGAGAGCCTCTCTGTTAAGAATCTGGCTGAAGTATAAAAAATATTTCTATAATAAGACACCACTATGGGTCTCCTCAATGGAGGCGCATCAAAGAAGACTTAGGTTGGAGAGTGTGGCCAACATATAGAGACATTTAGTCAAAAATACAACTGACATTAAAACATTTGACCAATTGAAAAATACATATGAGAACATTACTTGGCTCCATTATTTACAGATTAAAGAGTATTATGAACAAGATAAAAAATCAGGATTTGACTGGGAAGAAACAACATGGGATAAGATACTGAAGATGGAAAATAAAACAATAACAACAATCTACAATAAGTTGTTAATATGGGCAACTGAAAGTGAACAGATGAAATCATGTATGATTAAATGGGTCGAGAATTTAAGAAGGCCAATTCAATTTAGGAAGTGGGAACAGATGTGGAACAGGAAATTAAAATATACTTATGCAACAGATTTGAAGGAAAATTGGCTTAAAATGTTCCACAGGTGGTATACCACTCCAAAAAAATTGGGTCACATGTATAAAAATATTTCCGACAAGTGTTGGAAAGGTTGCGAACAGGTGTTGGGGTTCAGCCTGGGTGTGAACCTGAACCTGATTCTCTGAATGTATTTCCTGATGCTACTGAAAATGTATTTCCTGATGCTAATGAAAATGTATTTCCTGATGCTAATGAAAATGTTGATTCTGAGGTCAGTGTAGAAGAAACTCCTGCAGGCTTGGAAAGTGAAAGTACACATTCTCATGAGAATGTTTCAGAGCCAAGCAGTGACCTTTCACTCCCTTCTAGCTCTCCAGAGAAGCTAACACCTGGGATCCTTAATTAGGATAGAAGAGGACAGATTTGGCAGAACAGGGGTGAATCGCAGAGTTTGCGAAGGTCAGCCAGATTGAAAGAAAAGGAAACAAGGGCTTCAAAGCCTGGAGGCGTGTCACGAAACAGATTCCTCAGGTTTAAGTGCCTCTCGCCGGGTTGACTCTTTAGATCAGACATCGTTTTAGACTGAGGCATTACTTTGGCAGATCTCTCGTTTCCCGTGGCCTTCATCCCAAGAGGCATCTAGTGCTCCAAGTACGGTTAGTGGATTGCTAACAGGTTCCAGGATTTTACAGTGTTGCTTTGGGTTTTTGATCTAGTTCATGGACATTTCTGATTGCTGATTTTTACTGTGGCTTTTTGACTTTGCATTTCCTCTATTTTGTAACCATTTTTCATCAATAAAAAAGGATTGTTTTTCCCACAGTCAAGTGTGGTGGATTGTTGTCTTAGGGTCTTGTTTCCTGCTCTGGGTTGCAACAACAGGTAGGCACATTTTATCATATGTGGTGGACTTGTAAGGAAACCTCGAAATACTGGACACTGGTCCATGAGGAGACACAATTTTTTTTGAAAAGGACATTAAAAAAAGAAGCCTGAGTACTATTTGCTAGGCTTTACAGATTTGGAGTTACAGCTTAGTGAAACGACGGCGGCAAGAATTATTTTTGCTAAATTTTGGAAACAGGAAAAAATTCCAGCCCTTGATGAGTGGCTGGACAAGGTAAGAGAAATAAGAGACATGGACGAATTAACTTTTTTATTAAAAAAGAATACCGGGAAATCGATAAAAAGGACTGATTGCGATCTCTTTCATGACTACGATAAAAAGAGAAGAGAATAAGAGAAAATGAAGATTTAAACAAAAACTAGAAAATAAATGGGAGGAAGAACCTGAAGATAGAATGGAAGTTAATTCTTTTTTCTTCTTCTTTCTTTGTTATATCTTTATTATTCCTACTTTTCTATCTCCTTTTAAATATTCCCCCTCTTTCTATGTAATTATATATAACTTTAATAAAAATTATACCAAAAAAATTTTTGCAGCTGGGCCAGTTGCCCAGTTGTTTTCAAGCCCCAAATGCTGGGAACTGTTGCATCCCAGTTCAAGAAACGAGACCATAAGATTAAATCCACCACACTGGACTGTAGGAAAAGCAATCCTTGTTTATTGATGAGAAATTGGTTACAAAAGAAAAGTAAATGCAAAGTCAAAAAGCCACAGAACAACAGAGCAGTCAGTAGAATCTCTGAACTTGAGCAAAATTTCAAAAGCCACAAAACAAGAACCAGCCTTTTACTAACCATGAACTTGATAGCTACAAGCCTTTGGGATTACCGGCCATGAAACACAGGAATTCTGCCAAGGCACAGCCACAGTCCAAAACGTTGCTTGATCTAAAGAGGCACCCGGCAGGAGGCCTCTTAAACCAAAGAAGCTATTCTTTGAAACGCCCCTTAACTTTGGAGTCTGGGCCTGTCTCTCCTGTAAGCGATGTGACCTTCGTAGAAACTGGGAAATATTTCTGTCTCTAACTATCTGTTCTCTTCGGTCCTCATTAAAAACCCCAGGTGGAGAGATATCACAGCTAGTGATATCACGGCTAACTTCCAAAACATTTTCCTCCAGCTGTTGAGTTTCATTTTCATCTCCGCTGACAATGTGTGCATCAGTGTGCATCAACAACAGATTCCACACTGTCAGGGTCAGGGAGAGCTTGCTCAGTTGTTAAAAAAGTTAAAAATCTTCATGTTGCTGTCATCAAGGAAGAGAGATTCGTCAGGGGGTGCCCAGGGGGATAGTGAAGAAGAAGTAGTCGCCAAGCTCACCCCAACCTATCACATAGGGAAAAACTATCACACAGATCAGGATCAGGCTGAACCCCAACAGGAACTATCTGGCAGCAATTCAGGGAGTACACCATCATCCCCACACCCTTCAGGGACATTCTCATGGGAAATTACATTTTGCACAGGGGTCTCCTTCTCTGCATCAGTATAATTGACCAAATCATTGCCATCTTGAAATTCATTGGCATCACTTCCCACATCCAAAGCCCCCCGATCCTGAAACACAATCACAGGCTGAACTCCAACACTCAGTTCCCTGGTCTGATTAGTTTTGCAGGGAATTGGACTGTATAATAAAAGAGAATGTTATTTTCCTCCCATAGATTATTTCCTTGATATTGTATTCTCTTACAGATGAGTTGTTTTTCCATGCAGGATGTTGCAGGGACAACCGCACAGAGTCTTATATGAATTTACACCAGAAACAGCAAATGAGCTACAAGTCCTTCCCGGGAACATTGTTTTCGTCTTGAAGAAGGAGAAAGACAACTGGGCAACTGTTGTATTCAATGGAAAGGTATTAAAAGAATGGTGAGGGTGACCCTCTAGGACAGGGAGGTCGTCACACTTGATTATATGGCAGTGTAGATCCAGCTTGAGATACTGTATTTCATTGAATATTAGTCACCCCCAGTGGCACAATGGGTTCAACCTTTGTGCCAGTAGGATTGCTGACTGAAAGACTGACGGTTCAAATCCAGGGAGCAGGCTGAGCTCCCATCTGTCAGCTCCAGCTCCTCACGCAGGGAAGTGAGAGACGCCTCTCACAAGGATAGTAAAATATCCAGGTGTCCCAGGGGCAACATCCTTGCAGACGGCCAATTCTCTCACACCAGAAGCGAATTGCAGTATCTCAAGTCGCTCCTGACACACACACACAAACACACCACATAATAGACATACTCCAATTTTTTGGGTACCTTACATAATAGTTGCAGAGCCATTTGGGGCCAGTTCAAAGTAGACAATGTGGATTATTTACTTTGATAATCGGGTTCTGGCCCGTCTTACTTGTCTGAATGCATCTCCCCTTATGAACCAGCTAGGACTTTAAGATCATCTGGGGAGGCCCTGCTCTGGTTCCCACCGGCGTCACAAACACGTCTGGCGGGGATGTGAGACAAGGCCTTCTCAGTGGTGGCCCTTCGGTTATGGAATGCCCTTCCTGGGGACATTAGATCGGCCCCCTCCCTTTTAGCATTCCGGAGAAAAGTTAAGACTTGGCTATTTGAGCAAGCGTTTGACAATGCAGTGTAACAGGCATAGGAATATGGAACGAATGGATGGACAACGTTTTTAAGGATTTATGTTTTTATTGATCTTGTTATGGTTTTTTATTATATGTTAATGTGTTTAAATGTTTTATGCTGTGGTTGGGCATTGAATTGTTGCCTCTGCAAACCACCCTGAGTTGCCTACGGGCTGAGAGGGGCGGTATACAAAAATAGTAAATAAATAAATAACTAAATAAATAAATGGCGGTGTAGAAAGGTCTGGGAGAAAAGTCTAAATATCTCTCCTTAAACTGTTAGTCTCAGGATCCTGTGGGGCCCAACCGTAATAGCTAAAGTGGAATAACGATGCTATAATTCTGTAATGTGAATAAACACTAGGACTTTGAAAATCCTGTCATTTAGAGTTCAAAAATCAGGAGCCAGAAGTAGGATGAAATTTCCTTTCCTTTGTGGGCTCTTGGAGCTTTATTTATTTATTTATTTATTTATTAATTTATTATTTACTTTATTTATATACCGCTTTTCTCAGCACTCAGGCGACTCAAAGCGGTGAACAACATCGATACAAAACATCACGAAACAAATATAGGGCAATTAAAAACAATTGTAACATAAATCCTTAAACATCAGTATAACAATAATTAGCGCCTCAACAGTAAAATCAGAATCCAGTCTCATCATCCATTATTCCGTATTCCTACATTCAATTACACTGTTTAAACAAATGCTTGTTCGAACAGCCAGGTCTTCACTTTCCTCCGAAACGCCAGCAGGGAGGGTGCCGATCTGATATCTGCAGGCAGGGCGTTCCACAGCCAAGGGGCCACCACTGAGAAGGCCCTGTCTCTCGTCCCCGCCAAGTGCGCCTGTGATGCAGGCGGGACAGAGAGCAGGGCCTCCCCAGATGATTTTAGTGTCCTAGTCGGTTCATAGGAGGAGATGCGTTCGGAGAGGTAAGTAGGGCCAGAACCGTTTAGGGCTTTATAGGCTAACGCCAGCACTTTGAATTGTGCCCAGTAGCAAACTGGCAGCCAGTGGAGCTGGCGCAACAGAGGAGTCGTATGCTCCCTGAGTACCGCTCTTGTTAGCAACCTGGCTGCTGAACGCTGGACCATTTGAAGCTTCTGAGCAGTCTTCAAAGGCAACCCCACGTAGAGAGCGTTGCAGTAGTCTATACGGGTACCATTGCTGTCCAAGTATAACTATTTGTATTTAACTATGTGTTAAATGTTTTGATACGGCCAATAGGCCAATCAATAAAACGTATCGTATCGTATTTGTATCCATTCTCTCCTAACAGTTTCTTGCTTTTGCTTTTTGTACAGAAAGGGATTGTACCTTGCAACTATTTAGAGCCGATGGAAATGCTGAACCAGAGCACCGTCTGGGTAAGAGGCCACTGCATTCTAACTGAAAACTGGACATGTGTCCACTAAAGTGGGACCTATTCCTCCAAGTCCATACAATTGTGAACTTTTGACTGCTAGGTTAACATCACCTGCAGTTTGTTAGTCAAGGTGTATGAGTGGAAAATGGCATTATAATGTCAGGAGATGGATCAGATTTCCCCGGTTTTACTGAAGGAAGTGCATGAACATCTTTCATTTCCAGTGTCTCCAATACATGTATCATTCCCTGTGGTCCCAACTTACTTACAGTTTATTTAACACATCACAGGTTGTTTTTGTTAGATAGAAATGGAAAACATTTCTAATCCTAGAATAAAACACTGTTTGATGAACATGTGGTATAGTGATAGTACCTGGATATGACTGTGAATGTCATGATGCACTACCTAAGGGTGGTGGTGGTAATGGTAATAAGCATGTAAGATGTATTGCAAAGGCGTTGCATCAACCAGTCTCCCTTACTGATGACCTATCAATAGGTGGCTACATAAAGAGGACGAGAGAAACCATCTTTCTCTCTCCTGTGTGACTTGGTCAGAGTATCTGCCTATGTATTGTCAAAGGCTTTCGTGGCCGGAATCACTGGGTTGTTGTAGCTTTTTCGGGCTGTATGGCCATGTTCTAGAAGCATTCTCTCCTGACGTTTTGCCTGCATCTGTGGCAAGTTGTTTCTTCCACCCTGGACCTTCCACAGATATATAAACCCAATTTTCCTAGTTTCCAACAAGTCTCACAACCTCTGAGGATGCTTGCCACAGATGTGGGTGAAATGTCAGGAGAGAATGCTTCTAGAACATGGCCATACAGCCCGAAAAACCTACAACAACCCAATATCTGCCTATGTTGTATGTGACTATTGATGACTGGTTGTTTGCAAGTAAAAGGAAAGTGGATCTGCAAATCCTGTTTGTATATTTGTATATATTGCAATAGGAGCCACTGGTGCAGTGGGTTAGAGCGCTGAGCTGCTGAACTTGCTGACTGAAAGGTCGCAGGTTCGAATCCAGGGAGTGGCGTGAGCTCCCACTGTTAGCCCCAGCTTCTGCCAACCTAGCAGTTCGAAAACATGCAAATGTGAATAGATCAATAGGTACCGCTCTGGCAGGAAGGTAACAGCGCTCCATACAGACATGCTGGCCACATGACCTTGGAGGTTTCTACGAACAACGCCAGCTCTACAGCTTAGAAATGCACCAACCCCCAGAGTTGGACATGACTGGACTTAATGTCAGGGGACAACCTTTACCTTTACCTTATATATATTGCTTTAATTGTTTCTAATTTGCTTTAGGTTTTGTATTGTTATGTTGTGTTTTGAGGCCTTGACCTTTGTAAGCCGCATCGAGTCCTTCGGGAGATGCTAGCGGGGTACAAATAAAGATAATAATAATAATAATAATAATAATAATAATAATAATAATAATATTGCAATAGTGAAGATGAAAACCTGAATCAGTTTTCTCTTAGGCGATCCCTTGTTTTCCGAGGAGGATTGTCTTCCAGTATACTTGTGGGTCCGTGTGTGGCTGTGGAGCCCTATTCTTGCTCTGCATCCACTTCTGCAGTGAGGGCATTGGTTTCCAGGTGGAAGACGGTCTCGGTCGGGGTTGGCTTGACGCACCTTCCTCTTGGCACGCTTCTCCCTTTCGCCCTCCATTCATGCCTCTTCAAATTCTGCAGCACTGCTGGTCACAGCTGACCTCCAGCTGGAGCGGTCAAGGGCCAGGACTTCCCAGTTCTCCGTGTCTATGCCGGAGTTTTTAAGGTTGACTTTGAGCCCATCTTTAAATCTCTTTTCCTGCCCACCAACATTCTATTTTCCGTTCTTGAGTTCGGAGTAGAGCAACTGCTTTGGGAGACGGTGGTCGGGCATCCGGACTACGTGGCCGGTCCAGCGGAGTTGGTGGCGGAGGACCATTGCTTCAGTGCTGGTGGTCTTTGCTTCTTCCATCACGCTGACGTTTGTCCGCCTGTCTTCCCAAGAGATTTGCAGGATTTTCCGGAGGCAGTGCTGATGGAATCGTTCCAGGAGTTGCATGTGACGTCTGTAGACAGTCCACGTCTCACAGGCATATAGCAGGGTTGGGAGGACAATAGCTCTATAAACAAGCACCTTGGTATCCCTACGGATGTCCTGGTCCTCTGCTTCATTCGGAAAAATGCTACGCTCGCAAAGCTCAGGCGGTGTTGTATTTCGGCGTCAATGTTGACTTCGGTGGAGAGGTGGCTGCCAAGGTAGCGGAAATTATCAACATTTTCTAATGTTCCACCATTAAGCTGTATCGCTGGCATTGGAGAGGGGTTGGCTGGTGTCTGCTGGAACAGCACCTTGGTTTTCTCAATGTTCAATGACAGGCCGAGCTTCTCGTATGCTTCTGTGAAGGTGTTTAGAGTGGCTTGTAGATCTTCTTCTGAATACGCACAGACGACGTTGTCATCAGCATACTGGAGTTCTATAACAGATGTTGTTGTAACCTTGGTTTTGGCTTTCAGTCTGCTGAGGTTGAATAGCTTGCCATCTGTCTGATAGATGATTTCCACTCCAGTGGGAAGCTTCCCATCAATAAGTATCATAGCGATGAAGATGGAGAATAAAGTTGGGGCAATAACACATCCCTGTTTGACACCTTATCTAAGATAGATAAGTTGACCAACTTATCTATCTTGTATAGAGTGAGTGCAACCAGAACTTTTATTGAACAATGATAAATCACACAATTTCCATTTTTGCACAGAAGGAAAATGATGCTGACTTGGACATCCCAGCACCACCCAGCATTGCTGCTCCAGAACGTCCCACCAGGCGCCCTCCTGGTAAGGAAGAGGAAGCTTGTCCCAAAGCCTGGTGCAGATATGACAATAATTTTGTGCAAGTCATGGGAAAGGAAATCATTTTGGAGACGGGGGCATTGGATTGGTGATCATAGTAATGGAGTGTGTATTCTGAAAGCTGGGGTCTAATTTTCAAACTACCATAGATTTTGTGTTGATTTATTATTTATTTATTTATTTACTTTGCTTATATACCGCTGTATCTCAAGCCCGAAGGCGACTCACAGCGGTTCACAAACAGTAAAAACAGTAGAAACAGCAGTGGTTCCATACAACATATAACAATTGACTTAACACATTATCCATAAATTACCAATAAGCAATTACAATGCACAATTATTACAAAAAACAACCGTACCCAATCTTCTCATCATCCAAGCGTAGTCCAGGTTCGTCGTCCATTGTTCCATTCCTATGTTCCATTACCAGATTGCACTAAATTACTCAAACGCCTGCACAAACATCCAGGTCTTCACCTTTTTGCGGAATACCATTAGAGATGGTGCTAGCACTTACCATAGCTCTGGGGGAATTTGTAATAACATCTAAAGAGCCACAAACCCTTCCTATGCATCCCAATACTGTAGGTTTTCACCTCCTCTTCGGCGAGGTGGTTGCAAGTTTTACTCTTGAGATTACTGATTTTTAAATCATGTTTCTCTCTTTATAATCATGACTTCCTTTTGTTATACATGTCTGTGCTGTGCTTTTGTTAGGAACCACAGTGAAAGAAGCAGTGGTCTAGAAGACTCATTGCTGTAATGGTCTAGCACACCCAGTACTTTGGTATTCTTCCCTATCTTGTTGGTGTTTTTTTTTCTTCCAAAAAACAAACTGTTCCTATCATACAAAATTAGCATATTAAGGCCTTTCCTGAAGCCAGCTTGCTGTGGAATCAGACAGGGGACTATTTTTTTCCATAATTCCTTATTTCCATAATTCCTTTATTTTCCATAATTCCATATTTCCTTATTTTGCATAGAATTATGGAAAAAATAGACCCATGTCTGATTCCACAGCAAGCTGGCTTCAGGAAAGGCAAAAGCTGCACATCGCAAGTGCTGAACCTGACTCAGCACATAGAAGATGGCTTTGAAAGGCAGCAGTTCACAGGAGCTGTCTTCATAGACCTGTCAGCAGCCTATGATACTGTGAACCACCGCCTCCTCCTGAGAAAAATGTATAATATCACAAAGGACTACCACCTCACCCGCCTCATAGGAAACCTGCTACAAAACAGGAGCTTTTTTGTTGAGTTCCAGGGCCAGAGAAGCAGATGGCGGAAACAGAAGAATGGCCTGCCTCAGGGGAGCGCGCTTGCTCCATCCATGTTCAACTGCCAGAAGGGACAGAGAGCCACTGCCAGAAGTGATGATCGTGCCATTACCGCTCAAGCAGGGAGCTTTGAGATGGTAGAACAGAAGCTCTCCGAAGCTCCAGGTGCTCTTACTGCCTATTACAGGGAAAACCAACTGATCCCTAATCCATCTAAAACACAGACATGTACCTTTCACCTTAAGAACAGACGCATCCAGAGCTCTGAGGATTACCTGAGAAGGAATCCCACTGGAGCATTGCAGCACACCCAAATACCTGGGAGTCACTCTGGACCGTACTCTGACCTACAAGAAACACTGCCTGAACATCAAGTGGGCGCTAGAAACAATATCATACGAAAGCTGACTGGCACAACCTGGGGATCGCAACCAGACACAGTGAAGACATCTGCCCTTGCGCTATGCTACTACGCATGCCCAGTGTGGAAAACATCTTACCACACTAAAACAGTGGATGTGGCTCTTAATGAGACATGCCGCATTATCACGGGGTGTCTGTTCCCTACACCACTGGAGAAATTACACTGTTTAGCCGGTATTGCATCACCTGACATCCGCCGGGAAGTAGCAGCCAATAGTGAAAGGACCAAGGCAGAGACATCTCCAGCTCATCCCCTGTTTGGGTATCAGCCAGCACGTCAACGACTTAAATCAAGAAATAGTTTTCTTAGATCTACAGAGACACTCGCTGGAACACCTTAGCAAGCGAGAGTCCAAAAGTGGCAGGCTCAAACCCAGCACCTCAATCCGTGGGTGATACTAGATGAGAGACTCCCCCCTGGGCACACAGAAGACTTGGAAGGCGCGGAACAGACTGCCTTCTGGCACCACGAGATGCAGAGCCAATCTTAAGAAATGGGGCTACAAAGTGGAATCTACGACATTCAAGTGTGGAGAAGAGCAAACCACTGACCACCTGCTGCAATGCAACCTGAGCCCTGCCACATGCACGATGGAGGACCTTCTTGCGGCAACACCAGAGGCACTCCAAGTGGCCAGATACTGGTCAAAGGACGTTTAATCAACTACCAAGTTTGCAAAATCTGTGTTTTTTTTAATCTGTTTGTTTGCTTTGTTCTGTTAGAGATGTAATACAATGGTCTGGTTGCTGATGACACGATAAATAAATAAGCACATTAAGGGTAATGCTTTTAGCCTAAACTCATTTTCAGCCTGCAAGGGGTTTATGCTTAATGTGAGGAAATGTTTTCAAAAACAATTTCCCACAATCTATTCTATACCCACATAATTTTTATTCACATTTTGGAACATGTGGGGGTGTGACTGCAACTGCAGGCTATAGCCTTAGCATCAATCTCTATGCATATTTTAGTTCTCTTTTGTTCAGAAAAACACAAAATCAAAACAGAAATGTGTTCTGCTTCATCTTGCAGGTCAGAAGAAAGTGCCAGAGGTAAATGATCCACTTTGTTGCCTTGATGTATGAGATTTTGGAGAGAAGAACCCAGATACACCTAATATTACAAATTGATCTCATGGTGTGCACTGCACACCCTCCACTATTAACAGAAACTATTTATTTCATGTGAATTTAAATCAATAGCACTATACAGGTGGAGTATCTTTTATCCAAAATACTTGTTTTATGCAACATTTTGTTCTTATTTAATGAGAATAGTTAGATTTTAATAGATTTTAATAGAATAGATTTTAATTGCTGTAAATTGGGTTGCAGCTAAACATAAAAAAACCAAGATTATGGCCACAAGAATGGCAAATAGAGGGAGAAAACATGGAGGCAGTGACAGACTTTGCAACTCTAGGTGCAAAGATTACTGCAGACGCAGACTGCAGCCAGGAAATCAGAAGACGCTTACTTCTTGGGAGGAGAGCAATGACCAATCTTGATAAAATAGTGAAGAGTAGAGACATCACACTGGCAACGAAGATCTGCATAGTTAAAGCAATGGTATTCCCCGTAGTCACCTATGGATGTGAGAGCTGGACCTTAGGGAAGGCTGAGCGAAGGAAGATAGATGCTTTTGAACTGTGGTGCTGGAGGAAAGTTCTGAGAGTGCTTTGGACTGCGAGAAGATCCAACCAGTCCATACTTCAGGAAATAAAGCCCGACTGCTCATTGGAGGGAAGGATATTAGAGGCAAAAATGAAGTACTTTGGCCACATCATGAGAAGACATGAAAGCTTAGAGAAGACAGTGATGCTGGGGAAAATGGAAGGAAAAAGGAAGAGGGGCCGACCAAGGGCAAGATGGATGGATGGGATCCTTGAAGTGACTGGCTTGACCTTTAAGGAGCTGGGCGTGATGACAGCCGACAGGGAGTTCTGGTGTGAGCTGGTCCATGAGGTCACAAAGAGTCGGAAGCGACTGAACGAATGAATAACAAATTGGGGGTCCCCAAACTATGACCCGTGGGCCGGATGTGGCCCTCCAAGGTCACTTACACAGCCCCCACCCTGTAATTGCCCTAACTCTGAAATAACTTGAAAGCACACGACAACAACAATCCTAATTAACTTGACTATCTCATCAGCTAAAAGCAGGCTAACATTAAATTTATGTTCATTAAAATTGTTCTTCATTTTAAATATTGTACTATTTATTCATGTTTTTTTTTTTTTGCACTACAAACAAGGTATGTGCCGTGTGCAAAGAATTTGTTAGTGCATTTTCAAACTATAGTCCGGCACCTCAACAGTCCGAGGGACCGTGAACCAGCCCTCAACTTCAAAACTTTGAGGACCCTTGCTGTATATCAGGGGTAAACAAACTTTTTAAACAGAGGGCCAAGTCACAGTCCCTCAAACTGTTGGAGGGCCGGATTATAATTTGAAAAAACCATGAATGAATTCCTATGCGTACTGCACATATCTTATTTGTAGTGCAAAAAACACTTAAAAACAATACAATAATTAAAATGAAGAACAATTTTAACAAATATATATATTTTAGTATTTCAATGGAAAGTGTGGGCCTGCTTTTGGCTGATGAGATAGGATTGTTGTTGTTGTTGTTCTGTGCTTTCAAGTCATTACGAAATTAGGTTGACCCTAAGCGAGGGCTGGTTAAATGACCTTGGAGGCCGCATTCGGCCCCCGGGTCTTAGTTTGAGGACCCCTGCTGTAAATCATACACTGTATTTCCATTTTTATTTTTTCTTGGTTGTGTCAGGAGCGACTTGAGAAACTGCAAGTGGCTTCTGGTGTGAGAGAATTGGCTGTCTGCAAGGACGTTGCTCAGGGGACGCCTGGATGATTTGATTTTTTTATCATCCTTGTAGGAGGCTTCTCTCATGTCACTGCATGAGGAGCTGGAGCTTATAGAGGGAGCTCATCTGCCTCTCCCCAGATTCGAACCTGCGACCTGTCGGTCTTCAGTCCTGCCGGCACAGGGGTTTAACCTACTGCGCCACCGGGGGCTCACTGTATCTCCATAGCTGGGTGGCATATAAAGATTGCAAGTAGAATAAAATGTGTTTCTGAGAATGTACAGAATGCAAAGCTTTGATCCAAAACACATGACACAGATCCACATAGATGCATGGGCACCTTTTGAGTTAGGAATTCAGCATTCAATTTCCCTTGTCCACAAGTTTATTATGCGCATTGTCAATCTGGGACATTCCCAGCTACTTTCGCCCAATAGAATAGAAAATGGAAGAGTATTTGCGTCAACACATATTTTTCATATGTTTCCATGCTCAGTCGCATGAGTTCTTGTTTTCTCCCATTGAAATGGCCATTCTGAATACAGGGAGTGGTTTTGTCCTTGTGCGCTTTTAGAGTTCTGTTCCCCTATTCCTTGCTTTTTCTCCTCTTGCAGCCTGATTCCTCAGCTCCATACATTATCAAGGTGCACTATAAATACACGGTGGCCCTGCAAGTGAGCCCCGAGCTTTCGTATAGCAGTCTTTTAGACAAGGTCTGCAAGAAGCTGGAGCTCTCCCCGCAGCACACAACTCTGAGGTAAGGAATGCTGTCCAACATCCCCTTCATCTCTGGCTGAGCAAACAGGGCTGCTTTGGGCTTCATCTGTTTACTCATTTGTGTTTTTTAGCTACCGGCTTACAAACGATGCAGAGTTGGTGCCTTTGAGTGAGGATAAGATGAAGGACCTGTGGAATCAGGCAGAGAACAATTGCTTGACATTGTGGTGCAGCAGCCAGGAGGTGGGTCAGACCAAATTAAAAGGGAACACACTTGATCTCCTTGTGATAGTGATTTGTTGCTAACTGCAGCATTTAAAAAGTAACCTGATGAATTACAGGCAGTCCCCAAGTTACATACATCTGACTTACCCATATATTCCGGCATATAAGACGACTGGGCGTATAAGACAACCCCCAACTTTTCCAGATAAAATATAGAGTTTGGGATATATTCGCCGTATAAGACTACCCCTCTTCCAATGCACGCCAATTTTTTTAAAGCATTAGATTTGATTTCAATATGGTAATTTTCCTATTACTGTACTTCCTTCTCTGCCTCTCAGATCTCACAAGTGCACCTGCGCCACTTCACTGCAGTCTTCAGGAGCGAGATCTGAGAGGCAGAGGAGGAAGTACGGTAATAGGATACAAGGGCGGGCCAGACAGGTATAAGAGGTGTGTTAGAGTGGCTCTGGCCCAGACAAACACACCTCTTTTACCTGTCTGGCCCGCCCTTGTATCCTATTACCGTACCTCCTCCTCTGCCTCTCAGATCTCGCTCCTGAAGACTGCAGTGAAGTGGTTTTCCATACGCCGGGCACCTCGTGGACGCCTGCAGTTTGTTCCGCTCTTCACTTACACCTTCCCGGTGAGGGGCCCCTTCACCTCACCATCAGGACCGCATTAAGTCCACGAATCCTGATGAATGGATTTTCTTCTACCGTACTTGTACAGCGTCGCCCTTAATGCTTTCATTCAGTCGCTGCATACGGCAGGGACACACCAATTGCCATTTTTTAACTCCCCCCACCATATGTGGCAACCACAGATTCTCCAATCCGATTGGAAGTTTCAGCACCCGCTCTATAAGATGATACCCGTGTATAAGACTACTCTCGCGTATAAGATGACCCCACGTATAAGACGACCCCTGATTTTTGAGAATATTTTTTTGGGTTAAAAAAAGTCTTATACACCAGAATATACGGTACAAATGATTCATAGTTAAGAACAGGGGTGAGATAACAGGAAGTGAGAAAAATCTACCCTTCAGAAGGGAAATTCACTCCTGGAAGAGCTTTCATGGGGAGTTATCTCCAGTGAAGCTTCCTCACCTCGCATGTTGTGGATTCCACTTTGTAGCCCCATTTCTGAAGGTTGGCTCTGCATCTCATGGTGCCAGAGCACAGTCTGTTCAGCGCCTTCCAAGTCACCCAGTTTTCTGTGTGCCCAGTGGGGAGTCTCTCATTTGGTATCAGCCATTGATTGAGGTTCTGGGTTTCAGCCTGCCACTTTTGGACTCTCGCTTGCTGGGGTGTTCCAGCGAGTGTCTCTGTAGATCTTAGAAAACTATTTCTTGATTTAAGTCGTTGTCTTGTTGGCTGATGCCCAAACAAGGGATGAGCTGGAGATGTCTCTGCCTTGGTCCTTTCACTATTGGCTGCTACTTCCTGTCAGATGTCAGGTGGTGCGATACCTGCTAGACAGTGTAATTTCTCCAGTGGTGTAGGGCACAGACACCCCATGATAATGTGGAATATCTCATTAAGAGCCACATCCACTGTTTTAGTGTGGTGAGATGTGTTCCACACTGGGCATGCATACTCAGCAGCAGAGTAGCATAGCGCAAGGTAGATGTCCTTACTGTGTCTGGTTGTGATCCCCAGGTTGTGCCAGTCAGCTTTCGTATGATATTGTTTCACTTTTTGCTTGATGTTCAGGCAGTGCTTCTTGTAGGTCAGAGCACGGTCCAGAGTGACTCCCAGGTATTTGGGTGTGCTGCAATGCTCCAGTGGGATTCCTTCCCAGGTGATCCTCAGAGCTCGGGATGCTTGTCGGTTCTTAAGGTGAAAGGCACATGTCTGTGTTTTAGATGGATTAGGGATCAGCTGTTTTTCCCTGTAATAGACAGTGTTATGGTACGGCCGTACCAGGAGCTCCAATTTTATTTGCTTTATATTAAATGTTTGCTTGCAGTCCAAGGTTTCAGAGACTCTGCAGAAAGGTGTCTTCCTTTAGTTGCAGTCATAGGGCAAGTCAGTTGTCCATCATCATTAAGTTTTGGTTCCACCCCTTGCTCAGGGTAATTGGGAAGGGAAGGCAGCCATTTTTAGTTAGTCTCAGCAAGGAAAGCTAATGTACAGGATGTGTGCAAGCTTTTCCTGTACAAAAGCTTCAACCCTTAAGACTTTCCGGGGGAAAACAATCTCCAAAGGAAAACAGCCCTAAAGACCAAAGAACTCCATCTGGAGAATATCTAAGCCTTTACTGGTAGTCCACTCGGCGTTCGAGACGTAATTCGACCCGGTAGCGGAGCCCACATCAGTAAGGGTTAGATTACAGTCAGCCTGGGAGAAGTTAAAAAGGGGACTTTCCTTTAAAGTAAAGAATAAGTTATTGAAGACAGTTGCCTGTCCTTCGTGGGCAAGTTTAGGAAGCTACCAGTTGCATTTTTTTTTGGTCGTATCAGGAGCAACCACTCCTGTTGTGAGAGAATTGGCCGTCTGCAAGGACGTTGCCCAGGGGACGCCTGGATGATTTTTGATGTTTTATCATCCTTGTGGGAGGCTTCTCTCATGTCCCCGCATGAGGAGCTGGAGCTAATAGAGGGAGCTCATCTGCCTCTCCCCGGATTTGAACCTGCGACCTGTCGGTCATCAGTCCTGCCGGCACAGTGCTTTAACCCACTGCGCCACCGGGGGCTCCTACCAGTTGCATAAAAGCCTGGAATCATTTGTTTAGCTTTATTGAAGACAAAAGAAGTTTCTGTTTGATTGTTCATTAATAAAGGACTTTGTTATACTTCACAAGCCATCTAAAGACTATTTGTGGTGGAAAACCTCTGAGAACTTCTCCCGCTGGGCAAAGGTTGCACGTCCTGTTCTAAAGGAAATTCTTTACATGCCCAGCGCGTGACAGAACAGGGAGTGAGAGCACCTAGGGCTTCGGAGAGCTTCTGTTCAACTATCTCAAAGCTCCCTGCTTGAGCAGTAATGGCACGATCATCAGCATAGATGAAGCTCTCTGTCCCTTCTGGCTGTGGCTGGTCATTTGTGTAGATGTTGAACATGGACGGAGCAAGCATGCTCCCCTGAGGCAGGCTGTTCTTCTGTTTCCGCCATCTGCTTCTCTGGCCCTGGAACTCAACAAAGAAGCTCCTGTTTTGTAGCAGGTTTCCTATGAGGCGGGTGAGATGGTAGTCCTTTGTGATACTGTACATTTCTCTCAGGAGGAAGAGATGGTTTACAGTATCATAAGTCGCTGACAGGTCTATGAAGACAGCTCCTGTGATCTGCTGCCTTTCAAAGGATTGATAACACTATGCAACACAATTTTTGTTCCTGGGTTAGAAATGTCATTTCCTAATTGTTCCTTGTAGCGAATTCCTTACCTGCTAGGCTTTGAAAAGCTAGGAAAGTAGGCCCAGGAAGTTCGGCAGCCATTTTGGAAAGGGTGCCCGGGGCATCCATTTTAAATCTCATTTCCTGAAGGGGGTGTGCTTAGGAAGATGACAGCTATTTGGGAAGGATAGCTGGGGATTAGAGAGACAGATCAGACAGAGGGAATGGAGAACTGTTTCTTTATTGTGTGCCGCTTATTTGGTAAAAGGTAAAATTCTTAAGCTTGCTGTTTTTACATCAGACGGGAAACGACAATCCAAACACAGAAAATGGCGAGGAGGCTCAGGACAAGACGGAAAATGAGATGGAAGCAAATCAAGTTGTAGCGCGATACAGTTATGAAGCCAGTCAGCCAGAGGACCTGGAGTTTCAAAAGGGAGAGACAATACTTGTTCTGGCTCAAGGTAAGTCAATCCGAAACCACGGGGATTTGAATGAAGCAAGAAACTATTATGAACTCTTCTCCCTTCTCGTTTCTCCACCTCAAGGGAACTGTCAAATTGCCATCCTTCTCTTAAATATCCCTTAGTTAGTTAGTTAGGCAATCCCTCGTTTTCCGAGGAGGATTGTCTTCTAGTATTCTTGTGGGTCTGTATATGGCTTTGGAGCCCTATTCTTGCTCTGCATCTTCTCCCGCAGTGAGGGCATTGGTTTCCAGCTGGAAGGCGGTCTTGGTTGGGGTTGGCTTGACACACCTTCCTCTTGGCACGCTTCTCCCTTTCGTGCCTCTTCAAATTCTGCAGCACTGCTGATCACAGCTGACCAGCTGAGCACTCAAGGGCCAGGACTTCCCAGTTCTCAGTGTCTATGCCAGAGTTTTTAAGGTTGGCTTTGAGGCCATCTTTAAATCTCTTTTCCTGTCCACCAACGTTCCGTTTTCCGTTCTTGAGTTCGGAGTAGAGCAACTGCTTTGGGAGATGGTGGTTGGGCATCCGGACTATGTGGCCGGTCCAGTGGAGTTGATGGCGAAGGACCATCGCTTCAATGCTGGTGGTCTTTGCTTCTTCCAGCACGCTGACTTTTGTCCGCCTGTCTTCCCAAGAGATTTGCAGGATTTTCCGGAGGCAGCGCTGATGGAATTGTTCCAGGAGTTGCATGTGACGTCTGTAGACAGTCCATGTCTCACAGGCATATAGCAGGGTTGGGAGGACAATAGCTCTATAAACAAGCATCTTGGTATCCCTACGGATGTCCCAGTCCTCAAACACTCTCTGCTTCATTCGGAAAAATGCTGCGCTCGCAGAGCTCAGGCGGTGTTGTATTTCATCTACCTTACTAAACTACTTTATCCATTAACTAGTTCACATAGTGGTTTTCCTCCCCCCTCCAAAATTAGTTTTCTGTTATTGTTGCTGCTAGCTATTTTTGTTATGTTGTTTTATGCTGTTTTAATTGTTATTGCTTTATTTTAATTGTATTCTGCCTGGGCTTGGGCCCCATGTAAGCTGCCCCGAGTCCCTTCGGGGAGATGGAGGGGTAGAAAAATAAAGTTCTTCTTCTCTAGGTTCTTGTGGGTTTTTTCGGGCTATAGAGCCATGTTCTAGAGGCATTTCTCCTGACGTTTAGCCTGCATCTATGGCAAGCATCCTCAGAGGTAGTGAGGTCTACACAGAGAAGCCATTGAAATCCACAAGCATGTGTACAATTTCAACAGAAAGGAAGAGACCATGAAAATGAACAAAATCTGGCTACCAGTATTAAAAAACTCTAAAATTACAACAGCAAAACAACAGAGAGGAAACAACCAGGCACAGATTAACACCTCCCAGCAAGAGATTTTCCCAGGCTCAGGCAGGCCTTCAAATGCTAATGAAGGTGATCAGCTGAAACATTCACACCTAACTGCAGCAGGGAAGAGCTCCTTGCCCCACCCCAGCCATTCCACAGATATATAAACCCATTGTCCTAATTCCAACAGACCTCACTACCTCTGAGGATGCTTGCCATAGATGCAGGCGAAACGTCAGGAGAAATGCCTCTAGAACATGGCCATATAGCCCGAAGAAACCTACAACTAGTGATTCCAGTCATGAAAGCCTTCAACAATACATTCTTCTTCTCTTCTTCCTCTACTGGCCCTTGATTTTCCTCATTCATGTTCCAACAGCAAGTCTCATGAAAGGTGCATATATGCAATTTTTTTTAAAAAAACATAGCAAAACTTCTGTATCTTTGGTAATTGTGTACTAGGTGTACTTTTAGATAAGAAAGGAGATTCCATCTGAACATGAGAAAGAACTTCCTGACTGTGAGAGCCGTTCAGCAGTGGAACTCTCTGCCCAGGAGTGTGGTGGAGTCACCTTCTTTGGAAGCTTTAAACAGAGGCTGGATGGCCCTCTGTCGGGGGTGCTTTGAATGCATTTTTCCTGCTTCTTGGCAGGGGGTTGGACTGGATGGCCCATGAGGTCTCTTCTGACTCTATGATTCTAAGAGAAACAGTAGCTACCAAATCTCTCTCCTCCACAGTTGTAGCTTTGCACAGGAGCCCCATCCTCCTTCACATCATGGTTTCTAATTCACAAATAATGTACTGTAGTGCAATCTTTTACTGAAATTCACTGTTAATTAATACTTTTTTCTTTTAAAAAAACTTAAACATGACACTATTTTATCTTCGTAGTGAATGATGAGTGGCTGGAAGGCAAATGCAATGGAAGAGTCGGAATTTTCCCCAAATCCTACATTGAAGAGTAAAATAGCCAAGATCCTCCAAGTGAAGTATGAGCAAACTCAAACTTAAGGAACTCTGATGTTTCCACTCCTTTTATAAGGCAGTTCATCTCATTATAATATGCCAAATCCTCTGTTATAACTGAAGCCTCTATGTGTGTGGTTATTATTCTGCTTTCATGTTTCTCAGTTGTGATGCATACTGGGTTCTTTAGCTTTTTCCTGTCTAAAAAGAAAGCCAGGACAAGTCACAGTAGGCGAGTGATGGCTGTCCATTTGTATCTCTGAAATAATGTAAAATTCAATATACAGGGTGAGGCAGCATAATTTCCTTTTTTAAAATGCGTGCCATTCAGTTGGTTGAAGACGTAGCGGAGCGCTAGTGGTCTCGTTCGAGAGGCGGGAGTATCAAGTTTTGTCCTGACACAGTTCAGTCGCCATCCTGCATTGGAACAGTGAGGAGCATGCTTTTGCCGTTGAGGTCTACTTTTCGAGCGGATTTGGAGTGGCCGGCCCACTCTCCAGATTTGGCCCCTTGTGATTTTTTTCTATCGTTTTTTTTTTTGAAATCCCGAGTTTATGTGAACCGTCCAAGGCCCCTACAAGATTTGAAGACCAACATCCAGGAAGAAATTGCCAACATAACACCTATGTTGGCATGACAAACGCCAGAAATCGGTTTACTCAGTGTATGGAGAATGGGGGACGTCACCTACCTAATTTGATCTTCAAAACTACGTAAAACAAAACTTTAGGTATGCACCTACATTATATATATATATATAAAATCTGATTCATACAACGGGTTTTTATTAAGTTTTGAAAAAAGGAAGTTATGCTGCCTCACCCTGTATTCTGCTTTCATGTTTATCAGTTGTGATGCATACTGGGTTCTTTAGCTTTTTCCTGTCTAAAAAGGAAGCCAGGACAAGTCACAGTAGGCGAGTGATGGCTGTCCATTTATATCTCTGAAATAATGTAAAATTCAATATAGTATTCCAGAGTTTTGGTAGAATTACCATGCTACTACCTAGAGCACAGGCACATAGTTTTTAGGGTATTTTTGTTTTGTTTTTTTGTCGTGTCAGAAGCGACTTGAGAAACTGCAAGTCGCTTCTAGTGTGAGAGAATTGGCCGTCTACAAGGACGTTGCCCAGGGGACGCCTGGATGATTTGATGTTTTTATCATCCTTGTGGGAGGCTTCTCTCATGTCCCCGCATGAGGAGCTGGAGCTGATAGAGGGAACTCATCCGCCTCTCCCCGGATTTGAACCTGCGACCTGTAGGTCTTCAGTCCTGCCGGCACAGGGGTTTAACCCACTGCGCCACCGGGGGCTCCATAGTTTTTAGTAACATACGCTGAATTATTTTTGACTTCTCCAGTGTTTTATCCCATCTTCTGCTTTGATAATCAGAATTAACTCCACATGCTTGCACAGCATCATCTGTAGGGCAGAAAGAGTTCCGTCGCACCCCACACCACAACATCTTCAGAATATCCATGCATTAGAAAAGCTAGATTGTTCTCTATTTGTGGAGTATTCAATCTCCCCAAAAACTGAAGAAAAATGAGTTATACATAGCAGCACATTGCTAGGAGTAGAATATTATAAAAACGTATTAAATCACTTTAGTACAGGGCTTGGAAAATTGCATTTTATAACCAACTAGCTGTCCCCTGCCACGTGTTGCTGTGGCCCAGTCTGTTGATCTGGAAAATAAAGTAATGAGAAAGTGTTGGTTTCTAATATATGTAATTTCTTTATGCTTGTGGGTAAACAGTATTTCTTGTTGTTTCTTTGTCAGTGTTGATGTGGAGATTGTCTGGTTTGCCCACCCTGTAACATGCAACATATCATTGCCCTTCTTTAAGGGTCCCTTTCAAATCTATGATACTATATCTCTGCATGTGTGAATCATAACTATCTATGGCTGGATGGCTCTTTGTCATTAGGACTTTGATTACGTTTTCTTGCCCTGGTGAAGGGAGTTGGATTGGATGGCCTTAAGTATTTTCTGTTGGTCATGGGGGTTCTGTGGGGGAAGTTTGCCCCGATTCTGTCATTCCTGCGATTCAGAATGCTCTTTGAATGTAGGTGAACTGTGAATCCCAGTGAATACTTACAACTCCCAATTTTCAAGGTCTATTTCCCTCAAACTCCATCTGTGTTCATATTTGGGCATATGGAGTATTCATGCCAAGTTTGGTCCAGATCCATCATTGTTTGAGTCCACAGTGCTCTCTGGATGTAGGTGAACTACAACTCCCAAACTCAAGGTCAATGCCCACCAAACCCTTCCAGTATTTTCTGTTGGTCATGGGAGTTCTGTGTGCCAAGTTTGGTTCAATTCCATCGTTGGTGGAGTTCAGTTTAAAGAAACCATTTCTTAAGATTATGCTTCAGTAACAAAATACGCTCGTAGAAGTCAGTTGTATGTTTCAAAGACCTTAATAAACTTATTCTCTAGTTCACTGTTTAAACTGCCTCAGCCTTGATTCATTATATAAGTTCCAGTCATTTTCACCATCTTTACAATTCAGTCACTTGTAAGGAGTCAAATAGAAGGAGCTGGTGTATAAGAAGATTTACCTCAAGTATAACAACAAAACAATTTCTCAAACCCAAGTTTGAGTGGTGGCAGCAACCCTACCATTACACACGTTTCCACAACACACTATGAAGTGCTTCGTGACAGGATTGTGTTAGTGTTCAGCCAGAACCTAAATAAGTACCCTGTACCCTGATCTTTCAAAGTGGTGGTCAGCTGTGAGATGTTTAACCGCTGAAGGAACGTGTGTGTGTGTGTGTGTGTGTGTCTGAGGGTATCTGTTAGTGGAATATTAGTCCAGGATCCTCTTAAGGATTTATAGTGACCGTGTGTGGGCATATTCTTATTACATTGGTGCCAGCGGTGTGTCTTAAAACTATTACATGGGTGTCAGGAGCATTGCAGTGCACCCAAATACCTGGGAGTCACTCTGGACCGTGCTCTGACCTACAAGAAGCACTGCCTGAACATCAAGCAAAAAGTGGGTGCCAGAAACAATATCATACGAAAACTGACTGGCACAACCTGGGGATCACAACCCGTTACAGTGAAGACATCTGCCCTTGTGCTGTGCTACTCTGCTGCTGAGTATGCATGCCCAGTGTGGAACACATCTCACCACACTAAAACAGTGGATGTGGCTCTGAATGAGACATGCTGCATTATCACGAGGTGTCTGCGCCCTACACCACTGGAGAAATTAAACTGCACCACCTGACATCCGCCGGGAAGTAGCAGCCAATAGTGAAAGGACCAAGGCAGAGACATCTCCAGCTCATCCCGTTTGGGTATCAGCCAGCACATCAATGACTTAAACCTAGAAATAGTTTTCTAAGATCTACAGAGACACTCTCTGGAACACCTCAGCAAGCGAGAGTCCAAAAGTGGCAGGCTCAAACCCAGCACCTCAACCAATGGCTGATACCAAATGAGAGACTCCCTCCTGGGCACACAGAAGACTGGGAGACTTGGAAGGCACTGAACAGACTGCGCTCTGGCACCACAAGATGCAGAGCCAACCTTGAGAAATGGGGCTACAAAGTGGAATCCTCGACATGCGAATGTGGAGAAGAGCAAACCTCTGGCCACCTGCTGCAATGCAACCTGAGCCCTGCTACATGCACAATGGAGGACCTTCTTGCAGCAACACTGGAAGCACTCCAAGTGGCCAGATACTGGTCAAAGGACATTTAACCAACTACCAAATTCACAAGTTTTGTATTTGTCTGTTTGCTTTGTCCTGTTAGAAATGTAATATAATGGACTGGTTGCTCTGACACAACAAATAAAATTAAAAAATGGGTGTCAGGGACAAGATCTGTGAAAGCTCTATTCGGTAATTTCGTTATATTAGTGAAAGCAGGTGGGATTAGGTGTGTTTACCCCCTGACTGAGTTAAAAGACCCTGAGTGCCCAAGTAAATTCCTTTATAAGGGGTCACGGCATTAGGAAGGTTGAGAACCACTGGTGTGTTCAATAATTTCATTAATGGGTAGCACTGTGATTAAAGAAGATATTACTACACAAGGCTGGCTGTAGAGAACATGGTTTAATTAAAGGCAAAAGCTGAGTTCAGCAGCTGCAGGTCTCGCACAGACAGACAAAAACACAAAAGAAGCTTACGACACAAACCAGTTTTCTCTGCTGGAGGTTCCTCTTCCCTTGAGGCTCCTGACACAGTGGGGTGGGGATATATGGGGGAAAGAAGGAACCTTGCCCCCAAAGATTCTTAAAAAGAAAACATTCCAAAACACCAGATTTCTCATGCAGAAATGGGAGCCTACGGGCTGGGACTCTGGCCCTGCTGAGAGTGAGATGGTGAACCTGGTCAGGTTGTCGAGGGTGCAAGAATCAGTGGCATTTCAAACACTGGAATGTTGCAGCTGCTTAGATGCACAGCTCAAATACACAAACCGGGAGAAGGGGGTGGGATGGAAGCAGAAGCACGGGAGGGGGGGGGGGTCTCAGCTTAACGTTACAACCAGGGCAGGGACTTCATCCTTGAGACTTCCTCCATTTCTTTCCAAGAGGGGAAGGGGTTATAGCAGCAACACTGCTAGCACGGGGAGGCATATGGGGTCCAATTCCTATCCTAGAGAGCGAGGGGGCACTATGCATACAACTTCCCTTTATATCAAGTCTTTTTGGGGCTGCTCCCCAACTCCAGTGCCCCTTGCAGACCCTGGATGTGCTTTGCTCTGCAGCGTACAGATCCTGAACTGACGCACACACACGCACACCCCTACAACTGCAGCAGTTTGGAACATTTAGATTGTTTCCATAGCTACCCTGGGAAACAAAAAAAGAAATGCTGTCCTTTTGTCCTATGCAAGAAGAAGAAGAAGAGTTGCGGTCTTCTTCTGCTCAATAAATACTAAGCAGAACCCTTGACCCTCTTCTGTGCCCTCGCAGGAGCAAGTGGGACTGTTGGCTTCTGTGCATGGGTTCCACATCATATGTCCTTGGTTGCCTTGAACTTCCATTCCAGCACTGGAACCCTGTGCCTACAGGTCTGTGCGAGTTTGTGGAGTGGGCACACACCTAGGAGGGGAGGGGAAGCAAGGATTGCACACATCATCCTGGCTAGAGAAACTCCTTTGCCCCCCATTATCCTGCTAGAACTCTGTGGGATGCTGCATATGATGAACAGTACGACTAGCGACCAGCAAAGTGAGAGGAAGGAAGAAAAAGGGGGCGGAGGAAGGGGAAAGACACAGAAAGCTTCTACCTACCTACATAAAGGAGTCAGGCTGTGAATGCACAAACCAGCTTGCCATTTTATGAGGCTGGTCACTACGCTATCATAAAATGTACAGGAATCTGAAACCATTTAACTTAAAACCCCACAGTAGTGGCTTGCGTGCTCCGCAGTGGCCACCGCGCTTCAGAACTCGAAACACGAACCCATTCAGGGTTCTCCAGAGATCGCCTTCGAGGAAAAGGTGGAAGTGGTGCTAGAGGGCCCGGACTCTCCTTCATCAAAACTCCTGATCCAACCTGGAAGAGAAAAAAAAACTCGCCCTCCCACCCAACCTACCATCACCCACCTCTGGCTGGACCAGCAACTGGAGGGGTCGCTACACACTGACTACAAAGCACATCTGTGTATGGAAGAATTCAGTGTGACCTTACTACTGAGAGAGTAACAATTAGAAATTTAGATGTTGAGGAATAAATTTCAACTACATTCTCAGTCAGCAAAGCTATCGGTAATAGATTCCTATTGGTTTCTCCAAAACTGAGGAGAAGGATCGAGAAGTTCTCAGTGGCTTCTCCCGTCTGCTCTTCATTCTCGGCTTTTTGTTTTCCCACGTGGCTGGGGACATGCACGATGGAGAAGGTGAGAGGCGGTGATGCCGGGTTACCGTGAGACAAACAGCAGTCCCTCTCTGCCTCCAGAGGGCCCTGGAGGGGTGGGAGAGTTCCTGGTGTTGGTTTTTCCATTGCACTGCAGACATTTTCGTGCACACTCAGTGGGTTGGTGGAGCACTTACGCCCTCCTGACGGCAAGGAACAGAAGAGAGGGCTGCCACGCGCACAGGACTGAGTGAGACAGTCCTGCAAACCCAACATGCCATGATGTATGGAGCTTTCGGTTGCAAAGGTTGCCATCCTCTTTCATTCTCAGTGTGGTGGATTCATGGCACCTTGCCCGCGTTGCTGCTTCTGCTTCTGCTGCATCAACAGCTGCTCCAGGGCAGAAGGTCCAGGATGCATCATGGAACTGGACCAGATAGACTAAAAATAAGAACAGCAGCTTGTAAGGTGATGGTACAAACCGAAATAGAAAATCAGTGGTGAGCCCTCTTCGCCTCAAACATCTAAACAGCTTATAATAATAATAATAATAATAATAATAATAATAATAATAATAATAAACCTTTATTTATACCCTGCTAACATCTCCCGAAGGACTCGGTGCGGCTTACAAGAGGCCAAGGCCCAACATAACAAAAAACATCAGCATAACAAATACAACCATAAACAAACTCATAAAACAAGCAGTAAACATCAAAACAATAGCAATTAACATTAGACGATAACACCATGACACATTTAAAACTAAGGCCGGGCCAATGTAAAAATTCAATTTAAAAAAAATGCTGGGCATGACAGGTGAAATGGATAGGTTTTTGGAGATAGGTGCAATGTGCAGACAATCTTAAATCTCTAATAAAGTTATTATTATTGTCGTGTCAGGAGCAACCTGCGAAACTGCAAGTCGCTTCTGGTGTGAGAGAATTGGCCGTCTGCAGGTTATATAAAATAGGTATAAAAATCAAGCATTATTAATACTAAATCAGTATTTCCAAGGCTTGATAAACAGGCTGATTTTCCTTTTTTGGAGTAAAGCTGAAGAATCTTTTGCAAGTCCACTGTAAAACACTGACTTGAGGGGCTTTCAGAAACTTTTTACTGTTCCCAAATCTTTCATGACCCCAGCAATGAGCTAAGGAGGTCAGGACGCAGAGTTCAAAAACAGTGTTCTGGATCAGGGGTCCTCAAACTTTTAAAATAGGGCCAGGGCCTGTTGGAGGGCCGGATTATAATTTGAAAAAAGCACGAATGAATTCCTATGCACATTGCACATATCTTATTTGTAGTGAAAAAAACACTTAAATACAATACAATAATTTAAATGAAGAACAATTTTAACAAATATAAACTTATTAGTATTTCAATGGGAAGCGTGGGCCTACTTTTGGCTGATGAGATCTGATTGTTGATGTTGTGTGCTTCCAAGTAATTTCAGACTTAGGTTGACCCTGAGTGAAGGCCAGGTAAATGACCTTGGGGGGCTGTGTCCGGCCCTCGGGCCTTAGTTTGAGGACCTCTGTTCTAGATTATCAATGTCCAGCTACATCAATTTTCCATATGCCATACTGATTGCTTTTTGCTCTTGTGCCCCAATGCTCATCCTACCTTCAGGCTTTCCATAAGAACAGCTGATGAATCCTCTAAAGATGGACCATGAGCTGACCAGGTGCCACTGGGAGTGCTGGTCGGATGCCAACTACTCTCTGAAGAGGAAGATGCTGCTGGGAGATAGTCCAACCCAAATCCTCCCATGGCTGAAAGAGAGAAAGGGCAACAAGTCAGTGATGCAAAAAACCATTTGAACAATACCTGGTGCAATTACCTCTTCTGCTCACCTGGCTTATCTGTCTTCCATCGATCTGCCACCCTTCGATCCCTGTTGTCAGGTGTCCCAATGGGTCCAAAATTGGAGAATGGAACAGAATTGTGGTTGTGAGTGGGAGGCGAGCTTGGCAAGCTGCTTGGGTTAGAGGAATGAGGAGACTGGCTAGCTGGTGTTGAATGATCTGGCAGGTAGAATTTTAGAGAACAAAGTCAACAATCTATCTCCTTAATGTGTAAAAACAACAAACAAAAATCAAACAAAAAGCAACAGAACAGTTAACAAAATCCAAGTGACAAGGAAGGGCAGAGCAAGATAGTATATTTATGGGCTCTTTGAATTGACAATGATAGGCTGCTTCCTTGTAACGCAGTGCTTCTCAACCTATAGGTCCCCAGGTGTTTTGGCCTACAACGCCCAGAAATCCCAGGCAGTTTACCAGCTGTTAGGATTTCCGGGAGTTGAAGGCCAAAACATCTGGGGACCCAAAGGTTGACAACCACTGATGTAACTGGTAATGAACTCAAATGGTAATTTGTATGGTCAAACAAAAATGTTTCACATTTTGGGGACTTTACAGAATTAGTACTAAAACATGGCACTTATATAATGCACCCCCCCCCTCCCAAAATTAACTAATGCCATTCCACTAATGTTCCTTTTGAGGATCGTCACAAGTAAGAAGTTAGCATCTTTAGTCATTTAGTCACCGGGATTGTGACGCAGCTGACTGGGTGTCAGCTGCTTTAAGATCACTACTGACCAAAAGGTCATGAGTTCGAAGCCAGCCCGGGGCAGAGTGAGCTTCCAGCCAATTGTGTAGCTTGTTGTCAACCTTTGCAACCCAAAAGACAGTTGCATCTGTCAAGTAGGAAATTTAATGAAGTATTGAAGCAGCTCTAGAACATGGTGTTCATGTGCTACACAAGTAAATTCAGAGGATGCTCTGTGTTACCATAACAACCATGAACTATGGAGCAATGTTTGCATGGGGCCACTGTATAGGTGAGGTTATATCTAGTGTGGAACAAGTATTACCTGAGCTGGCTGGAAGAGATGGAGACCATGGAGTACCTTCAAAGAGAGAATAAAGTGAAGTCTCCTGGTGGCTCACTGAAGGAGTAACTTCTGTTTTTGTGCTGGCATTTAGGTTTTTTCCATAAACCTCATTGAACATGCTGTTTGGATATCTTTCCTGCAAGAGACAGAGAAGTTACACAGAGATGTTAGACCTAATAATAATAATAATAATAATAATAATAATAATAATAATAATACAACTTTATTTATACCCCGCTCCATCTCCCCCAGGGGAACTCGGTGCGGCTTACATGAGGCCACGCCCATCAATACAATACAATAATATAACACAAAAACATAGTAGGACCAAGCAAAATACATAAAATGCAAAATCAAAATAATATATGACACAACAATATAAAATCAAGCATTAAAAACACAAAAATATTCACTAGGCAGGGTCAGATTCAAGGATAACATTTTAAAAAAATTTAAAACACTGGGAGATAGGACAATGTAAATTATAAGGAGGAGACTCCAGGAATGAGGAAGGATTTCATTGCACAAACCAGGTATTCAAATTCCTCCTGAAGACTGCCAGTGTGGGGGCTTGACTAATATCTCTGGGGAGTGAGTTCCAGACCCAGGGGGCCACCACAGAGAAGGCCCTCTTTCTCGTTCCCGCAAGTCGCACTTGCGATGCGGGCGGGAGTGAAAGAAGGGCCTCTCCGGAAGATTGAAGGGATCATGTGGGTTCGTAGATGGAAATACGGTCGCGCAGGTAGGAGGGTCCCAAACCGTTCAGGGCTTTGTAGGTCAAGACCTGCACCTTGAATTGGGCCCAGTAGATAAACGGCAGCCAGTGGTGCTCCTTAAACAGGAGAGTTGAACGCTCTCTGTAATTTGCTCCAGTTAATAGTCTGGCTGCCGCCTTTTGGACCAATTGGAGTTTCTGGGTTGTCTTCAAGGGCAGCCCCACGTAGAGAGCATTGCAATAGTCCAATCTAGAGGTAACTAAGGCGTGGACCACCGTGGCCAAATCCAACCTACTCCAACGCACTACTGCACTGGTGGCTGAAATCATTTTGCTTGTGTTGCATCTGTCAAGTAGGAAAATAAGGTACCACCTTAAAGTGTGGGGAGGCTAAATTAACTGATTTATGAGGCCATAAAGAAGACTCCAGCAAAGCATTCCAGCGGGGAAGCATGTGGGGAATGTGGAAGTGCTTCATCAGCGTCGCAGATGGATGATGAAACCGACAGCTCCCCTGGCGGCCAGAAAAAGTTAAATAGCCTCTGGGTATGTCTGTATATGTTTGTATGTCAAAAATTGGCATTGAATGTTTGCCATATATGTGTACACTGTAATCCTCCCAGAGTCCCCTGCGGGGTGAGAAGGGCGGAATATAAAAGCTGTAAATAAATAATAAATAATAATTGTGTCCATATACTCTCAGTAGCCGAAGTGAGAAACATTTCAGTTGGCAAGTAAATCAAAGTTTCAGCAATAGTGTCTAAATCCACACACATGCAAGGAAGTATAGGGAATGGGCTTCTATAAAAGCATGTAGCTCTTTTTTTACGTATACTAGTTTCTTAAATGTTAATTCACCTGTCAGAAGTTAAGACAGGAAGACAGCATATAAATTATAATCTCAATTAAATGAACTGATAAGTGCATGCAGCACTGTGGCATTTGGAAGTTCCTCTTCACAATAACTAGAATTAGAACACACAGTTCAACATGCATTAACTAACCTTCTGAAGGTGAGGTGACACAAGCAACAGAAAAACCCAATGTGATCGGCAGATGAGACAAATATAAGCCAGAGTATACCATGTGAAGGCAGTGAAAACAAAAACTTCAGCTGTTTTGCACATAAAGATTTAACGTGTCACGTATTTGAGCCTAGGACCATCTGCATTATGCAGATGCTGTTGATGCTGCTGCACCAAAAAGCAACTCACCACTCAGAATCACACCTCTAGTCTGAAGCAAGTCAAGACATACACAAATATGTCTTGACTTGCTTGGAGGCCCTGCTCTCGCTCCTGTCAACAGCACAGATGCGCCTGGCGGGGACAAGAGACAGGGCCTTCTCGACTGTGGCCCCCCGCCTATGGAACACGCTCCCAAATGAGGTAAGATCCGCTCTCTCCCTCCTGGCTTTTAGAAAAAAAACTAAAATTATGGTTTTGGGACCAGACCTTTGGGCAGTAGAAGTAAATGTATGCAGCATTTTGGAAAGACAATGACTGGAACGGTGATTTAACGGACGAGACTGTTTTATCGTTTTAATGATTGTTTTATTTCTCATGGATGTATTTTTTAATTTAATTTATGTCTAATTGAAGTTTATAATTGTAATTGTTTGTACTGGCATTGAATTTTTGCCATTACTTATGTGTAAACCGCTTTGAGTCCCCCTCGGGTTGAGAAAAGCGGTATACAAATACTGTAAATAAATAAATAAAGTACTTATTTTATAGACTTTCATGAGAAGTATGTGTCCTAAAAAAGGAACATATGACTGATGTTCCCATCCATCACAAAAAAGATTTAAAAGAGGCCTTCGGTTAAATTACCTGATTAAGAGAGAAGCCCGTGAGGGACAGGAAAGATGGTGACTGAGACATCAGATCTGATGGTTTATCTAGCAGCGATTTCTTCAGCAAATCAGAGAAGGAAGGGAAAGATAGCATTAGACACTATAATTCATTAAAAATTGAGACGGCTCTTCTGGACTCCTAACTGTCACAAGAGTATTTAAAACGTGTATATGAGTTGAAAATAAATGACCCTTCATTATAAAATACAGATATTAAGCTTGCCAGAATTTACACATATCATTCGGTTCTTCTTCTCAGAAATGTGGCAACTTCTAAATATTGGCTGGGTCGGCAATGCAGAATTTCAAAATTCTGAACTATTAGTCAAACTATCACAAGGCAATGGAGCAATCCACACACTGCTTAGAATTCAAGGCAGAAAAATAAATCCAATAAATAAACAAACCCTCTCGGTGCAAGTCATTTTACTGTCCTTCCAAATCTCAACTTGTATATCCATTTCATCCTCCTGGCAATCAAAGACATTAAATCAAATGCTGCTTGCAGTATCTTATTTTTTTTAAAAGGAAACTAAGTATAAGACTACTTTTTAACCCAAAAAAATCTTCCCAAAAGTCATGGGTCGTCTTATACGTGGGAGTAGTCTTATACATGGGAGTAGTCTTATACATTGGAGTCGTCTTATAGAGCGGGTGCTGAAACTTCCAATCAGTTTGGAGAATCTGTGGTTGCTGCATATTGTGGGGGAAGCTCAAAAATGGCAGTGGCAGTGTCCCTGCCATATGCAGTGACTGTATGAAAGCATTAAGGGCGACGCTGTACAAGTACGGTAGAAGAAAATCCATTCATCAGGATTTGTGGACTTAATGCGGTCCCGATGGTAAGATGAAGGGGTGCCTCACCGGGAAGGTGTAAGTGAGGGGCGGAGCAAGCTGCAGGCATCTGGGGCGCCTGGCGTATGGAAAAAAGAGATGCTGGGCTCTGGGCCCAGACAAACACACCTCTTTTACCTGTCTGGCCCGCCCTTGTATCCTAATACCGTACCTCCTCCTCTGCCTCTCAGATCTCACTCTTGAAGACTGCAGTGAAGCGGTGCAGGTGCGCATGTGTGAGATCTGAGAGGCAGAGAAGGAGGTACAGTAATAGGAAAATTACCATATTGGGCCCAGACAAACACACCTCTTTTACCTGTCTGGCCCGCCCTTGTATCCTAATACCGTACCTCCACCTCTGCCTCTCAGATCTCGCTCCTGAAGACTGCAGTGAAGTGGTACAGGTGCACATGTGTGAGATCTGAGAGGCAGAGAAGGAGGTACAGTAATAGGAAAATTACCATATTGAACTCAAATCTGATGTTTTTAAATTTTTATTTGGTGTGTGTTGGAAGAGGGGTAGTCTTATATGGCGAGTATATCCCAAACTCTATATTTTAACTGGAAAAGTTGGGGATCGTCTTATACCCCCAGTCGTCTTATATGCCGGAATATACGGTATTCATCTATACAATTTCACTTATAACTTTGAATTAATTGTCCCATCAACGAGGCAACAAAACAGACTCGGTTGGATCTAGACTTGCATAGAATAACAACTCTGTGAACTACTATAGCTGAAAGATTCTCTGCCAATTCCCCTTAGTCAGGTTTCCTTTATCTGCCCCAAAACTATTCTACTCAGAATCATATGTAAGCTAATACTGGGGAAATTAAGAGGAAATGAAAAATCTGTGCCACAACCCTTTCCTCCAGCTGTGAGGCTCTGTGCTTCCAGTTTCCTTTGCAAACAAAAGGAGTCCACCTGTTTGCAGTGGGTCAACTCTGGAGCCAATTCATCACTGTAACTTCGTGCTTTCTTATATATACAACACACTATATGCTAGGTTTATTGAAAGCCAGAGGCATGCTTAAGTCCAACAAAGGAGATTCCATCTGAACATTAGGAAGAACTTCCTGACTGTGAGAGCTGTTCAACACTGGAACTCTCTGCCCCAGAGTGTGGTGGAGGCTCCTTCTTTGGAAGTTTTTAAACAGAGGCTGGATGGCCATCTGTTGGACATGCTTTGAATGAATTTTCCTGCTTCTTGGGAAAATTTTTTGGACTAGATGGCCATGAGGTCTCTTCCAACTCTATGTCTATGATTCTATTGGACTTAGGCATGCTTAGTTAATTTAAATAAGGCAGCCAAAAGCTCTGAATTGTTGTTAATGATATGTATGGCAGCCATAAGACTCAAAAGAAGTTCCAAAAACACAGGTTCTATCTTTGGCAGCATCACATCGCTGGTAACAAGGACTGGTGCAGAGCAGCTCATGGGATTTGGCCATCCTCTTAAGCAGAAGTCCTTTTCAAGCCATCTCCCAATGAGAGCTGTAATATTTAAATTCACAACTCCATAGACGTATTGACTTCTTGTTTCTGATAAATTACTGTACTACCTAGCTCGTGTTAGCTTTTCCAACAACCTGTGATAAACCCTAGCCTCCAGGTTAAAGGTAAAGGTTGTCCCCTGAGATTAAGTCCAGTCATGTCTTACTCTGGGGTGTGGTGCTCATCTCCATTTCTAAGTGCCGGCATTGTCCATAGACACCTCCAAGGTCATGTGGCCAGCATGACTGCATGGAGCGCCGTTACCTTCACGCCAGAGTGGTACCTATTGATCTACTCACATTTGCATATTTTCGAACTGCTAGGTTGGTAGAAGCTAGGGCTGACAGCGGAAGCTCACGCCGCTCCCCGGAATCGAACCTGCAAGCTTTCGGTCAACAAGCTCAGCAGCTCAGCACTTTAACCCACTGTGCCACTGGGACCTCCCAGCCTCCAGGTTACATGCCAATAAATAGTAAAAGGGAAATCTCATTGGGTGCTTGCCTTCCAGGTTATACAGAGCAGGACTTGCACTCCGAAGACCAAGGAAGTCATTTTCACAAAACAAGCACTCGTATACCAGCGTTAATATTTGCAGGCTTTGAAATTTCATCCAAGGATGAAGGGGTCTGCTCTCTTAAGACTATTAACATAATGTGTTTGATTTTTGAAATCAAATCAAGGAAGATCCTTATCTAAAGGTACTGCCCCACTCTGACTCAAAAGAATGAAAACTCATATATTTCTCCTCTTGTCATAGGTAAAGGTAAAGGTTTTCCCCTGACATTCAGTCCAGTCGTATCCGACTCTGGGATGTGGTGCTCATCTCCATTTCTAAGCCAATGAGATGACGTTGTCTGTAGACACCTCCAAGGTCATGTGGCCAGCATAACTGCATGGAGCGCCGTTACGTTCCCGCCAGAGCGATACCTATTGATCTACTCACATTTGCATGTTTTCGAACTGCTAGGTTGGCAGAAGCTGGGGCTGACAGCGGAAGCTGACGCCGCTCCCCAGATTCGAACCTGCAACCTTTCAGTCAACAAGCTCAGCAGGTCAGCGCTTTAACCCACTGTGCCATACAATGCACAAATACCATACAGAGCACAATTTCAGTATCTGACAATCTGTTTTTCAGAACTTTCTCTTTTAGGTTAATTCATCACACCAAAATCAATTCCTTTCTTGGAAGGTACATATATCAATAACAAATCTTTCGTCAAGTGCAGAGAAGCATATGATTGAGTACCAGACAATGGGGATAGGAAAACTGTGGGTTACCAGAGGCATCTGGTGGTTGGTAGCTGCAGAGAAGACTATGTGGATCCTTCATCTGATCCAGAAAGGCAGTTGTTGGGGCATCCCAGGCATCCCCAGGGGACTGAGTGGATTATCTGTGCAGATGCTACAAGGTAATGCTCAAGCAACTTGTAGTTTACTCAACATGGGGATCTAAAGATGGCATGTATGCAACCTGTATTGGATATTGTATGCCTATTAAAACAGCTTCATTGGCTGCCAATAAGTTGCCGAGCCAAATTCAAGGTGCAGGTCATGACCTATAAAGCCCTAAACAGTTCGGGCCCTGCTTATCTCCGCGATCGCATCTCCTTCTATGAACCGGCGCGAACTCTAAGATCTTCCGGGGAGGTCCTCCTCTTGGTTCCACTACCATCTCAAGCGCGGTTGGTGGGGACGAGAGAGAGGGCCTTCTCAGTGGTGCCCTCCCAGCTCTGGAATGCCCTTCCAAGAGATATAAGACAGGCCTCATCCCTCCCCTCCTTTTGTAAGAGCTTGACCTGGTGGTTTCAACAAGCCTTTGAAAATGACCAGTTCTAACTCAGCCCTATACACTGTCGAATACGGCCTTATTCTTCCAACCAATTACCCAGATCATTTCCTCTAATCGGCCCCGGAATGAACAGCCACAGACCCATACCTAATATTATTGTTGCCTGCCATAGCATTGCATTTAATTCCTGAGCCCCTTAGAATATTGGTGGCCCAATAATATTGTGTATTGTGTATGTGTTTTTATGCTTTTTAATGGAATATTGCTGCTTGTCGTTGTGTTGTAAACCGCGTTGAGTCGCCGATTTAGGCTGAGAAACGGCGGTATATAAGCACAGTAATAAATAAATAAATAAATAATAAATTTTTGGGCTTGCACAAATCTTGGCCCAGCCTTTTAAATTTCTAAATTGCCTTGAACAGGCAGGATTATTTTTAATATATGTGTGTTATGGTGACAATTTTTATGCATATTTTGTTTTGATAATCGTATGGTTATATTGTTTTTACTTTGTATATTCTGTGATTTTCACCTGGAAACTGCTCTGAGTCCCCTCGGGGAGATAGAGCGGTATATAAATAAAGTTTTATTTTAATTTTATTATTTTTCTATACTTATGATGTGAGGTGTACAAGATGCTTGAAGTCCCCAACATCCGGACTTATCATCTGACCTCTACTAGGCAGAGAGCCTTCTCGATTGTGGCCCATTATTTATGGAATGCCTTGCCAGTTGAAACCCGATCTATCCGAGACCTACCAGCTTTTCGGAAAGCCTGTAAAATCTTTCTCTTCCAACAAGCTTTCGATGGGTGAATAACTCGGGACTATGTCTGTTCTTGTTTTTATTGTATTTTAAAGTTAATTGTATTGTTTTAATCTACTGCTGTAAACCGCTCCGAGCCAAATTGGGAGTAGCGGTATACAAGTCAAATAAATAAATAAAAAAATAAATATCACTTCACATCATCAAAATTCATTAAGCATGTGCAAAACTAAAAATTCTGTTCTCTTTTCCGACCTTTGAACTTTTTAGATGCTAGCAAACATAAAGCTTAAGTTCTCAGCAAGTAAGAAATAAGATTTTGGGTCACCTATATTCTGACTTTGAGACTGTGCCCACATAAGATCTCTGTGGCAGAAATCTGTTCAGCTGCAACAGCTCACCAACTCTAGTGCTGTATGTTGCCAGCAGCTACATCCTCCTCTCACTTACCATGCTGTGAACCATGAAAGGTAAAGATGACTCATTTGTGGAGGTGAGGGGGTATGGGGAACAACACATGTTAAGGGAGGGGGGCATCATAATGGTAATCTTTCCAGAGCTTTTAAGGAATCAAGCACTGGGTTAAAAAACAACCTAGGATCAATGGAGTACTATAACAGCATTAAATCTATTTCTTTCCCTCTAGCAGAGCGCCATTATCCTGACCCTATAAGCTCTTCCTGTATTGCAATTCCCCCCCAAAAAAGGTTTAGCAAGGAACGTGGATTTAGCATATCCTATTGACCTTGCAGAAAAACAAATAAACAAAAAAAGATATGCCAAAATTAGAGTGAGAAGCAGCAGAATTAAGTCAAATACATACAAAGAGGCTTCGTCCAGGAAGAGAGGCGAGAGGCCCCAGCAGAGCTGGGTAAAGATCAGGAGGATTAGAGAAAATCAGCTCTTCCTCCTCCTCCAAGGCAGCCAGACTCTTTAACAGGTCCGGAGGAAGCAGAGGGGAGCTCTTGGGGTCCTAGTGACAGAAAGGAGCACAGTGAGATGCAGCAAGGAAAGAAGAGAAAGCAAGAAAACCAGTTGGTAAAAGCAAGGAGGCTGCAGGGTGCTCAAAGAAGCAAAAGGAACGCAAGGCAGGCTAATTTACAAGGAAAGAGAGTGCAAGGAGAGATATGCCAGCATGCAAAAGCGGCACACAAAGGTAAAGAAGCAGGGGAAGAAATAAAAGCAAATGCAGGAAAGAGAAAAAGAGTGGAGTCAAACAAACTTAGCATGTTCTTTTGTACTCTAGGAACCATTCTTCCTCCCCATTAAGTTGGAATTTATTGAAGGCAAAAACTATCGATCTACACTTACAGATCTCTGCCACCCTTCATAATAAACAAGAGACAATGAAGGTATTTTGTCATTCAATTGGTAAATTGCAGATAGAATCATGACATGTGTCTATGTAGTCTTAAGATATTCCTACCATGACAATTCACTTAGTCTTATGATTATAGCTAGATGGATTACTAACATCATTTGCATGGAATCTGAACATTTTAAACATCATATAGACTTCCAACATTTTTCGAAATTGTGCAGAATGCTAGCTTGAACAGAATTAGACCTTTTGATCTGTTTAGATACCTCTCTTCCTCCTTCTTGACTCACCCACATCCTTGCTACTTTTTAAACTGCTACCCACTTCTTGTTGTTCATCCGTTCAGTTGTTTCCGACTCTTCGTGACCTCATGGACCAGCCCACGCCAGAGCTCCCTGTCGGCCGTCACCTCCCCCAGATCTTTCAAGGTCAAACCAGTCACTTCAAGCATACCATCCAACCAGATTTTTCTCACTTCCTGTTGCTGTTCATTCATTCAGTCGTTTCTGACTCTTCGTGACTTCATGGAGCTGTCCATGTCAGAGCTCCCTGTCGGTTGTCACCACCCCCAGCTCCTTCAAGGTCAATCCAGTCACTTCAAGGATACCATCCATCCATCTTGCCCTTGGTCGGCCCCTCTTCCTTTTTCTTTCCATTTTCCCCAGCATAATTGTCTTCTCTAAGCTTTCCTGTCTTCTCATGATGTGACCAAAGTACTTCATATTTGCCTCTACTATCTTTCCCTCCAATGAGCAGTCGGGCTTTATTTCCTGAAGTATGGACTGGTTGGATCTTCTGGCGGTCCAAGGCACTCTCAGAACTTTCCTCCAGCACCACAGTTCAAAAGCATCTATCTTCCTTCGCTCAGACTTCCCTATGGTCCAGCTCTCACATCCGTAGGTGACTACGGGGAATACCATTGCTTTAACTATGCGAATCTTTGTTGCCAGTGTGACGTCTCTGCTCTTCACTACTTTATCGAGATTGGACATTGCTCTCCTCCCAAGAAGTAAGCGTCGCCTGATTTCCTGGCTGCACCTAGAATCTTTGCACCTAGAAATACAAAGTCTGTCATGGCCTCCACGTTTTCTCCCTCTATTTTCTAGTTGTCAATCATTCTTGTTGCCATAATCTTGGTTTTTTTTAATGTTAAGCTGCAACTCAGCTTTTACGCTTTCTTCTTTAACCTTGATTAGAAGGCTCCTCAGCTCCTCCTCACTTTTGGCCATCAGAGTGGTGTCATTTGCACATCTAAGGTTATTAATGCTTCTTCCAGCAATTTTTACCCCCACCTTGCATTCGTCAAGCCCCGCACGTTGCATGATGTGTTCCGCATACAAATTGAATAGGTTGGGTGAGAGTATTCAACCCTGCCGTACACCTTTCCCAATCTTGAACCAGTCTGTTGTTCCAGTTCTTACTGTTGCTACTTGGTCCTTATACATATTCCTCAGGAGAGAAACAAGGTGATTTGGTATGCCCATACCACCAAGAACTTGCCACAATTTATTATGATCCACACAGTCAAAGGCTTTAGAACAGTCAGTAAAACACTAATAGATGTTTTTTTTCTGAAACTCCCTGCCTTTCTCCATTATCCAGCGGATATTGGCCATTTGGTCTCTCATTCCTCTGCCTTTTCTAAACCCAGCTTGTACATCTGGCAACTCTCTCTCCATGTATTGCTGGAGTCTTCCTTGCAGGATCTTGAGCATTACCTTACTGGCATGAGAAATAATTGTCACTGTACAAAAGTTTGAGCAATCTTTAGAATTTCAATTTTTTGGTATGGGGATATAAGTTGATTTTTTTCCCAGTCTGATGGCCATTCTTGTGTTTTCCATACTTGCTGACAACATCATCTTTCAAGATTTTACCCACTAGCTGGCAATATACTTTTATGCCTCTTTTACTGACTTAAGTCTGCAAAAGCTGAAATAAGGTCCACACTGATGGTTGGTGAAGCTAACATAAAATACATGCGATATTGTTTCACCTCCCTATTCAAGAACAACCCAGAGAAACCAGATCTCTTTGGGCTCTAGAGTAGAAATCTTTTAAAACCTCCTAGCAGACCCTTGTATGCAAGTATCAAAGAAGAAAACAAAATATAATTGACAAAATAAATCTGTTTCCTTACAACTACTTACACGCAGTAACTAAATTTCTGGTTTGGTCTAAAAGTACAAGAAACAGATTAAGTGCTATGCTGAACTACAAGTGGCAACTCACTTGGCAAGGCAATACCAGAGCAAAAGATCAGTAAAAAGACAAACAAGCATGAAAGCTGTTTCTATCTTTTGCTATCAAGTGGGATCACTTATCTGGACTATTTTTACAGCCAGCTTCAGGCAGAATGGAGAGCCCAGTGTGCTGAGTGATGCAAATTATCTCAATTGAGCATTTATGAGGAACTTGATGTTAAATTGCTGTTGTTTTTATTGGGTGTGTGCTTTGATCTCTTCTATTGAGACCCCAAACAAGCACAAGCTGCTTCAGTATTAGGCCAAAGCTATTCCTCACTTCTTCTTTTTTTAACATTTTCTATAACAAGATCCAAGCTATATTCTTCCATCTCTGATCTGCAATGTGGAGGGGCAGATATATGGTAGAGAAGGTAGGTGCATCTGCCCTATCCAACCTCTTTCAATAGAAGCTTCACTCATCTCCTGTCTAAGAATCCTAGCAACCTTTTTCAGATATCTACTAAGCAACATTGAGTCACATCTTCCATCTGTGTGGGAGTTTTTCCTTTACCAGCACAGACAGACTGTATTCAACATCACACTTCAGGATTGTCTAACAACTTACTGACTTCTGCAGGCAAGCTGTGATAAAACTTGAGAGCCCCTCTATATTGATATAGAACATTATAGAAACAGAAATCAGGCTCAAACCAAAGCTTTATAACTTCCACAAAACAGTGATTTCTTTCCTCTTGTTAAGATGACATACTATGCATTCTATTCTACCTATAGGGAGATAAAGATGCTCTCTATACATCTAAACACGCATGCACACACATACACAATGTCTTTTTTGAAGACATTTTGGGAAACAAAAGATGAGATTGCCATGGCTGCAGTTAGGGAATACAGGATGACATTGGGGTCTTATCAGCTGAGGGAAAGCCCACTACCTAGACCAGGCAAACTTTGGCCCTCTAGGCATTTTGGACTTCAATCCTAGAAATTCCAGCCAGTTTACCAGTTGTTGGGAATTGTGGGAGTTGAAGTCTAAACAACTGGATGGCCAAAGTTTACCCATGCCTGATCTAAACCAAGTCTTCTTAAACTGTGGACCCTGACTCCAAATGGGGTCCCCTTAGCTCAATGTTTTTTTCTGAACATCACCTAGTGGATGTTTTAGACCAGGGGTCCTCAAACTTTTTAAACAGAGGGCCAGGTCCCTCAAACTGTTGGAGGGCCGGATTATAATTTGGAGAAGAAAAAAACAAACATGAATGAATTCCTATGCACACTGCACATATCTTACTAGTAGTGCAAAAAACATTTAAAAACAATAAAATAATTAAAATAAAGAACAATTTAAACAAATATAAACTTACTATTATTTCAATAGGAGGTGTGGGCCTGCTTTTGGCTGATGAGATAGGATTGTTGTTGTTGTGTGCTTTCAAGTCATTTCAGACTTAAGTGGACCCTGAGTGAGGGCCGGGTAAATGACCTTGGAGGGCCGTAACTGGCCCTCGGGCCTTTGTTTGAGGACCCCTGTTTTAGACATTTATATGATTGTGTTGTGCAGCGTTTACAGTGGATTCTGCAGAAGTTCTGTTTAGCAAGCCATGCAAATGCTGATTTGTTATTAGTAAACATATGTTTTTATACCGATTTTATATACTTATACACCTGGGGTCGAATAAACATTTATTGTGCCAAAAAAGGTTCCAAGTGGGAAAGTTTAAGAAGCTCTGAGCTAGAAAATGCAAGGGTTTTCCTGTCCACAACGCCACCTCTTCAATTTGCAGTCACACAGACAAGTTGTGTTGCAGTTGTCTCAAATTATCAGAAAGGGGATGGGGGCTTGTAATGTTTGCTGGTTTGTTTTTGGCTCATTCCTAGCAGAAGCAATACTACTAAAAGAAGCCAATCTCTTTGGGTTTTGATTTTTTTATTTAAAGGGATGTAGGTCTTTAGGATATACAGGGTGAGGCAGCATAATTTCCTTTTTTCAAAACTTAATAAAACCCATTGTATGAATCAGAAAGTTTTTTTTTATAATGTAGGCGCATACCTAAAGTTTTGTTTTACATAGTTTTAAAGATCAAATTAGGTAGGTCACGTCCCCCATTCTCCATACACTGAATGAACAGATTTTTGGCGTTTGTCACGTTTCTTGCCAGCATAGCAGGTGTTATGTTGGCAATTTTTTCCTGGATGTTGGTCTTCAAATCTTGTAGGGTCCTTGGACGGTTCACATAAACATGGGATTTCAAAAAAACCCATAGAAAAAAATCACGAGGGGCCAAATCTGGAGAGCGGGCCAGCCACTCCAAATCCGTTCGAAAAGTAGGCCTCAATGGCAAAAGCATGCTCCTCACTGTTCTAATGCATGATGGCGACTGAACTGTGTCAGGACAAAACTTTATACTCCCGCCTCTCGAATGAGATCACTAGCGCTCCACTATGTTTTCAACCGACTGAATGGCGCGCATTTAAAAAAAGGAAGTTATGCTGCCTCACCCTGTATATGTGGTACTACAGACCATTTAACTGTTTATAACAACGGCTTGTGGGTAGACCCACGAAGAGGAAAAAGTATGTGCTTCTTATTCATGACGCTTGAGATAGGGTTGGAAAATGGATGACCCATGCACCAGGACTAATTTCCCCCCCTTCCCCCATGTCACCACAAACTGATCCATTTTAAGTGAGCTTTGGGGACAGAGGAGTCAATCTATCCTTTGCCTGAGGCTCACCAGCTAAAAAAACTATTTACCTCAAAACCCATCCGAGACACTGGATCCTGCTCTGGGCGGAAGACTCCTTGCTGACGTTTCCCTCTGCGGTCCATGTTTGCTTGTTGCTGTGCCATCAGAACACGGTTATCAGCCATGCCATAGGTGTCCCAGTAAAATTCCGGCACCTTAACCTCTGAGGGATTCTGGTTATATGGCTCCATGGGGAAAGGCTTCATTTTCTTCTCCAGAGGCTGCTGCTGTTGCAGGAGGGGGGGCTGCAATGACTGTTCAAACAGTTTGAGGGGATCCTGGCCCTGAAGATAGTAGGGCTGCTTCACAGGCATGATCTTCCCCAATGGGCCTTGGACCTGAGGAGGGTTCCAGAGCTGCTTGGAGGAGTCGGCCTGGGAATACTAAGAACAGAGACAGCAGTTGTTCAATACATCAAACTGGGAAACCCGAGAAAGTGGCTCATTCAGGTTTCCAACAATGAAGACAAGCACAGGAAAGAGGGCACACATATTTCCTGCCACAATTGGCTATGGTTTTGTTCTTCTACATCAGAGCTGACCAAATGAGGGAACATTCCTTAGGCAGTCAAGAACAGAAAACGGTTCTGGGCCAACTTACCTGTCCAAACAAATCTCCCCTTATGAACCTTCGAGGACTTTAAGATTGTCTGGAGAGGCCCTGCTCTCGGTCCCGCCATCATCACAAGCATGGCTGGCGGGGATGAGATACAGGGCCTTTTCAGTGGTGGCCCCTCGGCTATGGAACGCCCTTCCTAAGGAGATCAGATCGGTTTCTTCGCTTCTAGCATTTTGGAAGAACCTTAAGACATGGCTATTTGAGCAGGCATTTGCGAATACTAAATAACGGACATAAGAACGGAACAACTACATGACGGACTGGACATTGCTTTAATGAGTATTTATTGAATTATGTTTTATTATAGTGTTATGATTTTATTGATGTTGATGTTTTATATTGTAATTGTGTTCTTGGTGGCATTGAAAACCGCTTCGAGTAGCCGGAAGGCTGAGAGGGGTGGTATACAAATATACTAAATAAATAAATAAATAAAAGTACTATTTTGCTGTTCCTAAGATAAGAATGCATGGTGCATCCTGCATGTAGCAACTCATGTAAGAATATGTGCATTAGGTACCAGTCTATGAACCTCATTCCCATATTTGGCCAAGATAACATATTCTGCTGTAGTCTTGTTGGAGCTTCCAATATATGACTTTCTTTCTGAATTCAAAGTTCTTAAGACCTTACAATCACAAGAAAATCAAGAAGAAATGTTTTAGACAGAAGAAGATGAATGGCAGGAACATTTGTTATGACACAATGTGAAAATCTGCCCAAATTCCCATATGAATGCAAGTTGTAAACTAATAATAGGCTAACATGTGTATAGTGCTTTCAAGGACTCCAACTGCTTGGAGGTCCTCAAACTTTTTAAACAGACGGCAAGGTCACAGTCCCTCAAACTGTTGGAGGGCCAGATTATAATTTGAAAAAAAATGAATGAATTCCTATGGACACTGCACATATCTTATTTGTAGTGCAAAAACACTTTAAAACAGTACAATATTAAAATGAAGAACGATTTTAACAAATATAAGCTTATTAGTATTTCAATGGAGCTCCGGTGGTGCAGTGGGTTAAACCCCTGTGCCGGCAGGACTAAAGACCAACAGGTTGCAGGTTCGAATCCGGGGAGAGGCGGATTAGCTCCTTCTATCAGCTCCAGCTCCTCATGTGGGGACATGAGAGAAGCCTCCCACAAGGATGATAAAAACAAATTCATCCAGGCGTCCCCTGGGCAATGTCCTTGCAGACAGCCAATTCTCTCACACCAGAAGCAACTTGCAGTTTCTCAAGTCTCTCCTGACATGAAAAAAAATCACATTTGGCTTACTAGCCGCATTTGCCTCACTTTAATTGGGGAAATTTCATTTTTGTGTTCGTGTCAGGAGTCACTTCTGGTGTGAGAGAATTGGCCGTCTGCAAGGACGTTGCCCAGGGGACGACCGGATGATTTGATGTTTATATCATCCTTGTGGGAGGCTTCTCTCATGTCCCCGCATGAAGAGCTGGAGCTGATAGAGAGAGCTCATCCACCTCTCCCCGGATTCGAACCTGCAACCTGTCGGTCTTCAGTCCTGCCGACACAGGGCCCACTGCGCCACCGGGGGATCCCTTTTTCCTGATGAGATAGGATTGTTGTTTTTGTTGTTGTTGTGTGCTTTGAAGTCGTTTCAGACTTAGGTTGACCCTGAGCGAGGGCCGGGTAAATGACCTTGGAGGGCCGTATCCGGCCCCTGGGCCTTAGTTTGAGGACCCCTGAAATAAATTGTCCAGCTATAATCTTTATTATCGTCAGCTAAAGAAAGTTAGTGACACTAAAAGGTTTGAAGAAGCCTAACATAAAACAGGGCGGCTATTGCACACTAAAAGAAGCTTCTGCAAAAGCTAAGGATGGAGGGCCGGACGGACTCTGTACCTGAAAATTCCATCAGTGCCTTGAGGCCGTTACTGGATGGTTGCATGCCAGCAGGTTGAGGGTGAACCCAGCGAAGACAGAGATCCTTTGGCTGGACCGCCCGGGTGGGAGGGAGATCCAGCTGCCTACCCTGGATGGCGAGACACTACGTCCGTCACCTTCTATAAAAAGCCTTGGTGTCTTATTGGACCCTCTGCTCACAATGGAGGCCCAGGTCTCTGTTGTGAGCAGATCTGCGTTTTCCCACCTACGTCAGGCTAGGCGACTGGCTCCCCACCTATCTAGGAACGACCTGGCTACGGTGATCCAGGCGACGGTCATCTCGAGGCTTGACTACTGTAACGCCCTCTACATTGGCCTTCCTTTGTCAGTGATCCAGAAACTGAAGCTGGTGCAAAATGCGGTGGCTCGTCTTCTCGCCAGGGTGCTGGCGAGGTGTCGTATCACCCGAATTCTACAACAGCTGCACTGGCTTCCGATTGAGTACCGGATTACTTTCAAGGTGCTGGTATTAACCTTTAAGGCCTTATATGGTCTGGGGCTGGCGTACCTGAGTGCCCGCTTATCCCCCTACCAACCCCAGAGATTACTTCGGTCCGAAGACCAAAATTTGCTTGAAGTCCCCAACATCCGGACTTACCATCTGTCCTCTACTAGGCAGAGAACCTTCTTGATTGTGGCCCCTTATTTATGGAATGCCTTGCCAGTTGAAACCCGATCTATCCGAGACCTACTTGCTTTTCGGAAAGCCTGTAAAACCTTTCTCATCCGACAAGCTTTCGATGGGTGAATAACTCGAGACTATGTCTGTTCTTGTTTTTATTGTATTTTAAAGTAAATTGTATTGTTTTAATCTGTTGCTGTAAACCGCTCCGAGCCAAATTGGGAGTAGCGGTATACAAGTCAAATAAATAAATAAATAAATAAATAAATAAAGCTATTGTCTTAAGGGACATACACTTGATTAATGGCAGGATTTATCATAGTTACAAGATAAGGGAGAGAAACTATGTTCCCACTTTGGCAATATTCCAATTAGTCCCTCCTCCAACCTACTTGTTTGCTCCTTTTGTCTATTTCTGTCTGTAACTTTCCAATGTATTCTAGCACCGGCCTGCAGAAAAGCCAAAGTGGACCAAATCTGGGGAGAAAATCAATACTTCCTAGATCAGAGCTCCGATTAGTGTCCATGGTATCCTAATCCAGACTTTGGACCTCCTATTGCATCCTGTCCTTTGAAGGTACAGCCTCTGAAGCTTACCTGCTGGAATCCCGAGTGGTGCGGAGGGCTCTTCCCTAAAGTCGGCACAGCTTTTGTAGGGGACTGTTGTTGCTGCTGCTGCTGTGCCAGAGCCTGAACCTGCAACTGGCTTGCAGACTGTGCTGTTGCCTGAGCTGGTAACGATGCAAGGGACTGCTGAGAAGGGGATGGCGTCTGCTGAAGCCCCTGGTTCATAGGGCCTGGTCCTGAGGGCCGCTGCTGGCTATAAGGAATGTGGGATTGCTTCCCAGCTTGCACCTGGTTTCCTGCAGGTGAATGAGCTGCAGGCTGAAGAAAGGTTCCTGGGACAGAAACGCCACCTGGGAAGGTGTATCCTGAACTCATCGAGAAAGCAACAGGAGGGGGGATGACATAGGCAGGGGGTGGGAAGCCTACAGAAATAAACAAAAGAGTCCACATTAAAACAGGTGATAAAAAATACAGTTTTCCACCTTTTCTCCAGGATTATCACTAATCACTTAACTGTCAGTACTTTAGCCCCCTCTCCTAGTCTATTATTTAAAGCAGAAATGGGCAAGAGTGGTCCTCCAGATGTTTTAAAACATCACTCCTTTAACTGTTTGATGTTTTGGCTTTGGCTGATGTGAACTGGAGGCCAAAACATCTGGAGGATTTCAGTTGCGAAACTTATGCTTTTAGGAATTTCAATCTGCAGAACAAAGAAGATTCCATATTCAAATGCAGGCTGTTTCGATACTTATTTTCTGGAGACAGGAAGAAAAATCTCTGTGCCTATACAAGCACATGTGCAAGCATGCAGCTCTACATAACCTGCTCCTATTTTTATCTCATTAAAGTCTTTTAACCCTTTTATCCTACATGTGGCCCGCCCACTGCTATCGTGATTGTGTTTATTGGAATGTTATTTTGTTACTGTGTTTATACTTTTTTTTCTATGTAATTTTGATTATGGTGATTAAGTTGCTTGTTGTTTATGTTTTCGTTTTATTTTGCTGTAACATGTTTTCTGGGTTTGGCCCCATGTAAGCCGCTCCGAGTCCCCATTGGGGAGATGCTGGTGGGGTATAAATAAATATTATTGTTTGTCAGGTTTTACAATGTATTGTAATGTAATATAGCTGAGTCATGTGGGCTAGGCAAAACTACGGTGAGGTGGATCTGTAATTGGTTAAGTGGACGAACACAGAGAGTGCTCACTAATGCTTCCTCTTCATCCTGGAAAGAAGTGACAAGTGGAGTGCCGCAGGGTTCTGTCCTGGGCCCGGTCCTGTTCAACATCTTTATTAATGACTTAGATGAAGGGCTAGAAGGCATGATCATCAAGTTTGCAGACGACACCAAATTGGGAGGGATAGCCAATAGTCCAGAGGACAGGAGCAGAAGTTCAAAACGATCTTGACAGATTAGAGAGATGGGCCAAAACTAACAAAATGAAGTTCAACAGTGACAAATGCAAGATACTCCACTTTGGCAGAAAAAATGAAATGCAAAGATACAGAATGGGTGACGCCTGGCTCGAGAGCAGTACGTGTGAAAAAGATCTTAGAGTCCTCGTGGACAACAAGTTAAACATGAGCCAACAATGTGATGTGGCGGCAAAAAAAGCCAATGGGATTTTGGCCTGCATCAATAGGAGCATAGTATCTAGATCTAGGGAAGTAATGCTACCCCTCTATTCCGCTTTGGTTAGACCACACCTGGAATATTGTGTCCAATTCTGGGCACCACAATTCAAGAGAGATACTGACAAGCTGGAATGTGTCCAGAGGAGGGCGACTAAAATGATCAAGGGTCTGGAGAACAAGCCCTATGAGGAGCGGCTTAAGGAGCTGGGCATGTTTAGCCTGAAGAAGAGAAGGCTGAGAGGAGATATGATAGCCATGTATAAATATGTGAGAGGAAGCCACAGGGAGGAGGGAGGAAGCTTGTTTTCTACTTCCTTGGAGACTAGGACGCGACAATGGCTTCAAACTACAAGAGAGGAGATTCCACGTGAACATGAGGAAGAACTTCCTGACTGTGAGAGCCGTTCAGCAGTGGAACTCTCTGCCCCGAGTGTGGTGGAGGCTCCTTCTTTGGAAGCTTTTAAACAGAGGCTGGATGGCCATCTGTCAGGGGTGTTTGAATGCAATATTCCTGCTTCTTGGCAGGGGGTTGGACTGGATGGCCCATGAGGTCTCTTCCAACTCTTTGATTATATGATTCTATGAGACTACTGTTAATAGGCTTCTATTGGAAATGCTGAGTCATGCATTAACTGTATATAGGGAATCATTTGGGGAATGTGTTCTGGCCTAGTCCAGGTGATTGTGAATGATGCAATCCTGGGTCTGAGTTAAGTTAATGAGTTGGGAACCAATCAGTGATTGCTATGTGTAATTGTATAGAATTGTATATAAGGAAGTCATGTAGAGTGTATACTCTCTCCTTGTGCTGTGATGCTATTCATCGAAGGCTCTATGTAATTGATTAAAAGAACCTGTCTGCTAAGACAAGATATAACTGTGTGCTGTGGTAAGGTTGTAATGTCATCTAGACTGGGGGGAAAACAATAGTAAAATTGACAATGGCCAGGCATGTGTTCAAGTGTCTGTAAAAGAGTTCCAGAGTGACTGCAGTTTGTGGGAGAAGTTGGCTGAAAATACTGTGCAGGAAGAAGCTACTGGAAAGCGCTGAAGTTGTGCAACTGATCTGCTGCTGAATTGTGAAATTAATCTCAACCTTATTATTATTATTATTATTATTATTATTATTATTATTACTCCACTTTCCTCTTGGGGACAATTCTGGGACAGAGAGGTGTACCACATTCTAGCAGGTCTTTGGTGATTACTTCTGTCATTTCCATGGAATTTTTAAACATAATATTGTTTGCATATTTCTATTTTGAACACCAAAAATTGGTCTCTGTACTTGGAAATGTGTACACTTTGTGGCAATAGAATTATTTCTCCATTACAGCACCGGGACTGTGGCGCAGCTGTCTGAGTGTCAGCTGCATTAAGATCTCTTCTAACCACAAGGTCATGAGTTTGAAGCCAGCCTGGGTCAGAGTGAGCTTCCGATTAATTCCGATTGTGTAGCTTGTTGTCGACCTTTGCAACCCGAAAGACAGTTGCATCTGTCAAGTAGGAAAATTAGGTACCACCTATGTGTGGGGAGGCTAATTTAACAAAAGTGTCGCAGATGGACGATCAAAGCTGAAAGCGGCAGCTCCCCTGGCGGCCAGAAAAGTTAAATAGCTTCTGACTGTTTGTCTATATCTGTTGTGTGTCTTTGACATTGAATGTTTGCCATATATGTGTACATTGTAATCTGCCCTGAGTCCTGTGGGGTGAGAAGGGCGGAATATAAATACTGTAAATAATAAATAAAAAAATAAAGGTATTATATGTGAGATGGGCTTCCTGTTCGGCACTTGCAAAAGAAATAGTTCTTCAGTTTTCATTCAGATATTTAAAAAGGGATCAAGTCTACACTTGCTGTCTTGATTTTTAGGCTTGTTTCTGGGGTTCTTTGGGTGCTGATTCAGAAAATTGCATTGGATATACTGCATCATTTGTAGTTTCTTAGATATGGTTATTGTGGTTTTCTTTAGGTGAGCATATAAAGACTGGTAGATGGCAAATATTCTGTATCTCAAAATCTAGAGCCGATAGGGGAAAAATAGTGCCATTTTTGGAATCAGCAGGTCAAATATACCCAGAAACAAACATTTTAGGCACCAAAATGTGCATTGACTAGTGTTCTGCACTGTACTAGAATGCCACTCAGGTTCCAGTTTCAGAAAAGGTGAACACTCCTTTATGAGGTCTATGCTGTCATCCTTCACATGAAAGCAGAAGGCATTGTTGCACTGCGGTCATGTTTACAATAACCAACTTTTATTGTAGGTCAGCACATAATTTTTACCTGGCCTGCTGGGAAGCGGAGGGAAAGCTCCTGGGTGGTGGATGGGGATGAACTGGGAGTTGCTCGCTTGGTTGGGAGACTGAGTCACTGGTGTTTTCCTGGCTTCAGACACTGGAGTCTTCCTCAGCTCTGTCTGGGATTTGACCTAGGAAGGCAAGCCATTCAAAGTATTAATACCTGGACACAGCATATTATTCGAGAACACAGAAATGCTGAATCCTCCAACAACCACCAAGCCATTGAAATCCACAAGCACGTGGACAATTTCAACAGAAAGAAGGAAACCATGAAAATGAACAAAATCTGGCTACCAGTATTAAAAAACTCTTAAAATTACAACAGCACAATAACAGAAAGTAAACAATCAGGCACATCTAATCACCTCTCAACAAAAGATTGCTCCAGGCACTGCCAGGCAAACAAATGCTAATCAAGGTGGTCAGTTGAAACATTCACGCCTAGCTCCAGCAGACAAGAGTCTCACCCTGGTCATTCCACAGATATATAAACCCTTTTTCCTAGTTCCAACAGACCTCACTACCTCTGAGGATGCTTGCCATAGATCCAGGCGAAACATCAGGAGAAATGCCTCTAGAACATGGCCATATACCCCAAAAAAACCTACAAAAACCCAGTGATTCCGGCCACGAAAGCCTTCGACAATATATTAATGCTAAGTTTATTGCTTAGCATACTTTACCACAGCTTCCTAATATGACAAGTTTGACGGCAAGTTGTATCCCATATCTTTACTATTAAGAGCTACCTCATCAGTAACAGAGGGACAGAACTTGGAAACTTCCATTATTAGAAGAATTTACACATTTTTGAAAATGGTACAAAATATTGGGGAGAATATATTGCAAAGACTATATCATAATTTATTGTGTATATACATCATTTGAACCTTCCATTCTAATCTACATTTGTTGTTTTGAATAAATTAATCCTAGGAATTTAATCTTGCTTCATTTTCTGATTCTTTCCAACCATCACAGCAATAATAATAATAGGATCCATTCTCTAGAACAGGGGTCCTCAAACTTTTTAAACAGAGGGCCAGATCACAATCCCTCAAACTATTGGAGGGCTGGATTATAATTTGAGAAAAAATGAATTAATTCCTATGTATACTGCACATATCTTATTTGTAGTGCAAAAACATTTAAAAACAATAAAATAATTAAAATGAAGAAGAATTTTAATAAACTTATTCGTATTTCAGTGGGAAGTGTGAACCTGCTTTTGGCTGATGAGATAGGATTGTTGTTGTTGTTGTTGTTGTTGTGTGCTTTCAGGTCGTTTAAGACTTAGGTTGACTCTGAGTGAGGGCCGGGTAAATAACCTTGGAGGGTTGTATCCGGCCCCCGGGCCTTAGTTTGAGGACCCCTGGTCTAGAAGAATAGTTTGATGATTATGGAAGACAGATATCTACAACTGGCTGGCCAATACTACAAAATTCTCAACATTTTGCTCTGCAGATATTTTGCATTTTTACTACCAGAATCCCTGGGCATGGGTCATCCACAAACTGAAGTAAAATCATGTCTGCAGCAGAATTGAGAACTGGAGCAGTGGGCAGAGATACATTTAAAATGATTAAAATAAGCTTTTAAAATCATGTGTTCTAGCATTTCTTACTATTGGCTATTTTTGATATCTAAAGGGCTGCATTCCTTTGGTATCATTGGTATTCATGCCAAGTTTTCAGAGAGTGTGTAGTGATAATCCTTAGGCAACCCAAGGTTCAAAGTGGCAGAATACATCAAAATAAAAGGATAGATCTCTGTCTGAAGCATTTGGAAGTCTGTACAGGGTGGCAATGGCTCTGTCAACAAAACCTCTGGAGAAAATGAATATGCCAGTATAGGTGGAGAACCCCCCATCCCAGATGTTTGACATCAGCTCTCACAAGCCTCATCCAACATGGCTAAAAGGGATAATGTGGTTGGTGAGGAAAAGCTTTCTCGTATGTGATCTAGGGAAAAGCTAGTGTTCCCCAATATTATTTCAGTTGCCCTCCCTCTTCTACATCAATTCTTGATTCAGGCCTTCTCTCTGCTTCCTCTCCCTCCTTCGCTCAGAAGGCAGCAGCCCACTCTTATTTTTTAAATTTTATTTATAAATTTATCATACAAAATGTATAAGCATACATTCTTCCCTCTTTTTACAACATCTTAGACAGAAGAGTATGTCATATTATATACCAGGGGTCCTCAAACTAAGGCCCGGGGGCCGGATATGGCCCTCCAAGGTCATTTACCCGGCCCTCACTCAGGGTCAACCTAAGTCTGAAACTAGTTTTGGTAATATCTTCATTTTAACTAATGCTGTCAGCCCACTCTTTAAAAGAAATCCTGCTCAAAGAGTTCAGAGACTCTGGAGACTACATGGGACTATCTAGCAAATCTCTAGAAACGATGGGTCTTGCAAAGCCCGCTTGCAGTTTCCTCTTAGAAGGGGAGATCTGGCACTCAGTGGCTCAAGATGGTACTGCATATCACAGATTTTAATTAAACTACCTAAAATGGTGAGGACCACTGTTCTTTCTATGTTGTACACTGCTGTGAGTCGCCCCCGGGCTGAGAACAGCGGTATATAAGCAAAGCAAAGCAAAGCAAAGCAAAATAAATAAATAAATAAATAAATAAATAAATAAATAATAGAGTGAGGCAGTGCTTCTGTAAATTTCTTATAATCAACATTGTTCAATGCAGTTCTTTGTGGATCTCTCTTTATCTCAGTTCAACTACACCCCCTCTCCTTTCCCTTCCTCGGATACTGAAATTGTATCATCAAGTGAGAGGAAAAGGCATCTTCCCCCACTATGAAAATTCTCCCTTCCCAATTCCATATACCAGTTTCTCAAACTCTACTCCTCCAGATGTTTTGGATTTCAGCTCTCACAATTCCTAACAGCTGGTAAGCTGGCTGGGATTTCTGGGAACTGAAGTCTAAAACACCTGGAGGAGCAGTTTGAGAAACACAGCCATATAGCACCGGGACTGTGGCGCAGCTGGCTGGGAGTCAGCTGCATTAAGATCACTACTGACCTTACTGACTGGACTACTGCAATGCACTCTACGTAGGGCTGCCCTTGAAAACGGCTCGGAAATTCCAACTGGTCCAACGGGCAGCAGCCAGGATGTTAACCGGGACCCATTACAGAGAGAGGTCAACCCTCCTGTTCAAGGAGCTCCACTGGCTGCCGTTTATTTTTCGAGCCCAATTTAAGGTGCAGGTGCTTACCTACAAAGCCCTGAACGGTTTGGGACCACCCTATCTGCATGACCGCATCTCCGTCTACGAACCCACACACTCACTTCGTTCATCTGGAGAGGCCCTGCTTGTGATCCCGCCCGCGTCGCAAGAGCGCTTGGTGGCGACTCGAGACAGGGCCTTCTCTGTGGTGGCCCCCCGACTCTGGAACACCCTCCCAAGAGATCTTAGACAGGCCCCTACACTGGCAGTCTTCAGAAAGAACTTGAAGACCTGGCTGCTCCGATGTGCCTTCTCAGATTAGGAACCTCCAATACCAAGTCCTAGAAGCACTTTAGTAGAACTAAGATTACTGCACACCGCACACTGCACTTACTTTATAATCCTACATACCTCCTGCCACATCAGCACTTTTAATCTTGTACCCATTACTCTGGCCCGGCCCAGTTTTATAGTGTCTTGATGTATTGTTTATTGTTTGTTGTTTATTCTGCTTAACTGTTTTTAATTTGCTTTAGGTATTGTATTGTTGTATAGTGTTTTGAGGCCTTGGCCTAAGTAAGCCGCATCGAGTCCTTCGGGAGATGCTAGCGGGGTACAAATAAAGTTATAATAATAATACTGACCTTTTCAGGCGCAATTATTGAGGTCGAGGGAGAGGGCCTTCTTGGTGCTGGCCCTCTCCCTCCACCGAGACTTTGGAACTCATTTCCCAAAGACATCAGGCATGCCCCATCTCTGGCAGTCTTTAGGAGGAGCCTGAAAACATGGCTGTTCCAGTGGGCCTTCCCAGAATAAGCAAAATTCCCAGCAATATGTCCTCAGAATGCACTTTACTACTGGTTTAGGATTGACTGCACTTCCTCAACTCTCCTTTAAAACCCTATACCAGATATATCCTACCTTGTTCATGCCCAGTGTTTATTTTTTAATTTTTAAACTATTACATTTGGCCCAGCCAAACAGAGGATGCCCCCAGAATACCTTATTGAGCATGAACGACAGCAAGAAATGAGAAAAGGGGAACGTAAATAAGCTTGTCTCACCAGCTTATTTATTAAAAAAGTAAAGATCAATCTTTAAAAAAGGGGAAGCTTGTGAAAAAAAGTCATTCCCTGGATGAATTTTGAAAGGATGTTGATAGGTCTCTAAAATGCTGAAAACACTTATTTTTTATGCAAAGTGTACCTGACCCAGTTTTATTTTATATGTGTACAGGCAGCCTCCAAGTTACAAACAAGATAGGTTCTATAGGTTTGTTCTGAAGTTAAATTTGTCTGCAAGTCAGAACAGGTACATTTTAAGTGTAATTCCAGACAAAAATATACATTCTTTAGCTTTGGACAGCTTGTTTTGCTGTCTGTGCCCCTGTTCAGAACATTTCACGTCACTTTCTGTTCCTGTGAGAATTGGATTTTGAAAAAAATTGACTTGTTGTGGAAACAAGGATTGGTGATAAAGCTTCAATTGGGCCACCTTTTCCCCATGAGAACTATTTCAGGAGTGTATTTCCCTTCCGAGGGCTAGATTTTTCTCACTTCCTGTTGTTGTTCATTCGTTCAGTCGTTTCTGACTCTTTGTGACTTCATGGAGCAGTCCACGCCAGAGCTCCCTGTCACCACCCCCAGCTCCTTCAAGGTCATTCCAGTCACTTCAAGGATACCATCCATCCATCTTGCCCTTATTTGGCCCCTCTTCCTTTTTCCTTCCATTTTCCCCAGCATAATTGTCTTCTCTAAACTTTCCTTTCTTCTCATGATGTGGCCAAAGTACTTCATCTTGGCCTCTACTATTCTTCTCTCCAATGAGCAGTCAGGCTTTATTTCTTGAAGTATGGACTGGTTGGATCTTCTCGCTGTCCAAGGCACTCTCAGCACTTTCCTCCAACACCACAGTTCAAAAGCATCTATCTTTCTTCGCTCAGCCTTCCCTATGGTCCACTTCCTGTCGTCTCACCCCAATTCTTAACTATGAGTCATAGGCTGATGTTTGTAATTCGCAGACTGCCTGTATATTGTTAGTTTTGAAAAAATTAGTTGCTGAAATATATTGAACCGCTCATCCTTTTTGTAGTGCATGAATTTAGTCCTATTCTTTTTGCCCGTTAAAAAGTGATCCCCAGAAGCATATCTATTTTGTAAAATATATATATTTAGTTTCCCATTGAAATCAGCTTGCCCAAGTCTTGCAAAACAAGGTATCAATAAAAATAGACACTATACTCCATTTTAATAACACACTGACCTTGCAATCTCCTTACACTCCACAAACTAACTAAGCAGTATTTGTGAGCTCAACAAAGCAAGACAATCATGGCCCATATAAACATCCCACCAATGGCTAGAACCTTATCAAATTCACCACGCTGCTTGGAGATAATTCATTGCTGCTTCATATGAGCTGTCATGGGACTATTTACCAGACTGCTTAATTTCCATGTGTCTACTTCTATATCCATCTGAACAAGCTTCAATAGCCTAGTTTGGTGCTGAGGAGGGAGGGATATTGTGAGAGAATTGGCCGTCTGCAAGGACATTGCCCAGGGGACACCCGGATGATTTGATGTTTTTATCATCCTTGTGGGAGGCTTCTCTCATGTCCCCGCATGAGGAGCTGGAGCTGATAGAGGGAGCTCATCCACCTCTCCCTGGATTTGAACCTGCGACCTGTCGGTCTTCAGTCCTGCCGGCACAGGGGTTTAACCCACTGCGCCACCGGGGGCTCCTATCATTATTCTATCATTATAGGTAATAGGTAAGCACATTTACATTGAAGAAGGTTAAAATAATGGTTGAATCAAAGTTGGGCAGTCTTAATTTAAATTTTTGTGTAAATACTCAAAAACATTTAACCTACTGATGATTATCAGTAGCAGCTACATTTCTCACCCTCGGCTTATACTCGAGTGAATACGTTTTTCCAGTTTTTTGTGGTAAAATTAGGTCCCTCGGCTTATATTCGGGTCGGCTTATACTCGCGTATATACGGGTAATTGGAGCTGTTATTCAGTAATATCTGGGGATCCAAACTGGGTAAAACTAAAGGGCACCACTATGATGAAAAAACAATATAGTTGACTCTCCGTATCCATGGATGCTCGGTCCACAGATCCAACAGCCCTCTGAAGGCAACCATAAGGCTGATGAAGCCTTCAATGAAAGTAAGTTTGACACCCCTTTTTTAGATAATGTATTACAAAGCCTTACCTGCACTGCTACATTTTGCTTCCCTGCTTCCTGCATCTTTTCCATGCCACATTTCTTGATTTCATTCTTTCTCTTGTTGTTGTTGTCCTTCTTCCCATCATTTTTATTGGCTGTTATTCCTTTGTTATAGTCTCTCCTTTCCCTACCCACTTCCTTATTGAGATAGCTTCGGCTTGGCTCTCTGTTTACTTCTCGTGGTTTAATGTTCTCTTTGAATGTCACCATTGGCTTATCTCCGGAGTCACAGCTGTTGCTCAGGTTTCGACCTGTCGACAACACTGATTTAAGTCCTGGGCTTCCATCCACAAACTGTGGTTCTGACGCTTCGTGCAAAACATGACTCTGTTTGGCTTCACTATGTTCCTCAAGCAGCAATTCTGGGATCTCTGTCAAAAATAGGAGCTTCCCAATCTCGTTTTCACACTGGATGAGCCTTTATGAGAAAGACAAAAAGGAAATCATCTCATATTATTGATCAAATTATCAGGATCAATCAAAACCAGAAAGGAACATTCAGCTATTATTTAATGCAACCATACTATGCTTTATAGCTTTAAAATCAAATGATACATCAATGAAAATAAACCAGTCCTAGTCCTGAGTCTCACATTCCTAAAAAATAACACAAAGAGAAAAATGAAGCAGGGTGGGGACAAGATACAGGGAAATCAAACATGTAGGTCTGTGGTGGTCGGTGGGTTGTTGTAGGTTTTTTCGGGCTATATGGACATGTTCTAGAGGCATTCTCTTCTGACGTTTCGCCTGCATCTATGGTAAGCATCCTCAGAGGTAGTGAGGTCTGTTGGAACTAGGAAAATGGGTTTATATATCTGTGGAATGATCAGGGTGGGACAAAGAACTCTTGTCTGCTGGAGCTAGGTATGAATGCTTCAACTGATCGCCTTGATTAGCATTTGATGGCCTGGCAGTGTCTGGGGCAATATTTTGTTGAGAGGTGATTAGATGTCCCTGATTGTTTTCCCTCTGTTGTTTTGCTGTTGTAATTTTTGAGTTTTTTAATACTGGTAGCCAGATTTTGTTCATTTTCATGGTTTTTTCCTCCTTTCTGTTGAAATTGTCCACATGCTTGTGGATTTCAATGGCTTTTCTGTGTGGTCTGACATGGTGATTGTTAAGAGTGGTTCAGCATTTCTGTGTTCTCAAATAATATGCTGTGTCCAGGTTGGTTCATCAAGTGATCTGCTATGGCTGACTTCTCTGGTTGAAGTAGTCTGCAGTACCTTTCATGTTCCTTGATTCGTGTTTGGGCAATGCTGCGTTTGGTGGTCCCTATGTAGACTTGTCCACAGCTGCATGGTACACGGTAGACTCCTGCAGAAGTGAGAGGATCCCTCTTGTCCTTTGCTGAACGTAGCATTTGTTGGATTTTCTTGGTGGGTCTGTAGATAGTTTGTATGTTGTGTCTCCTCATCAGCTTCCCTTGATGTAGGGCAAGAACACTTTTCCTCTGGGTGGATCTTTGTCTTTACTCTCGTGGCTTGTTCTTGGTCTTGCAGCTCTTCTGATGTCTGAGGTGGAGCATCCATTGGCCTAGAGAGCCCAGTTTAGGTGGTTCAGTTCATTTTGAAGGATGAGGGGTTTGCAGATTTTTTTTGCATGGTCTGCCAAGGCTTTAATGGTGCTTCTTTTTTTACTTGGGTGATGGTTGGAGTTTTTATGTAGATATCTATCTGTGTGTGTGGATTTTCTGTAAACAGTGTGACCCAATTGTTGATCTAGTTTGGGGATGACTAGGACATCTAGAAAAGGCAGTCTTCCTTCATTTTCTTTTTCCATGGTGAATTGGATGTTTGGGTGGATGCTGTTAAGATGGTCCAAGGAACCTGTTTAGTTCTTCTTCTTCATGGCTCCAAATGGTGAAAGTGTCATCCACATATCTGAACCATATCGTGGGCTTTTTGTTGCTGTTTCTAGGGCTTGTTTCTCAAAGTGTTCCATGTAGAAATTAGCTATGACCGGGCTGAGAGGGCTCCCCATAGGTACTCCATCTTTCTGTGGTGGTCATTTCTGTGGATCTGAAAGTGAGGCCAAGCCAGAGATGACCACAGTGGAAACAATTTTTACCAAGAAAGGAGCACAGGCCACACTTATCAGGTAGTAACTCTGTTTATTCATGTCTGCTTCCTTCACATACTTCAAAATGTTCAAATTAAGTTGCTGATACTAGCTTAAAAGAACCAATGTAAAGTATAGCCCTACTAAATCAATCAATACTGCCTTAAATGTTGAAAAAGCTGCCCACATCCTTTTAAAATCGTATTACTTTAATATTATAGAAATTTTAGTGATTGCCTAGTATAACTAGTACCCTCTCACATACTGACTTATACAGTGTTATATATAGCATTCAATCGCTTATCATAACATTTAGCATTGACCATGTTGGCCATGCTGTACTCCATTTGATTTCCATGTTAATAACAAAATATAAAATGTGTGTACACATTGAAGGTTTAGAGCTACCATATAGGCACAGTCTTCCTTTTGGACTAAACCAGAGAAATGTGCTGCCATGAAAGATAATCTGAGCAAATGTTTTGTCAAATTGGTTTCCATCAGATTATAAATATATGTCACATTTGTGACAAATAAAATGTTGCCTAACATATTTTATCACATTACTGCATAGAAGTTTTCCATTAAATGTCTCTAAAAATGTTCAACACCTGCTCAACACTGAATGACAAAAGGAAACATCATATGGAGAAGGGTAACGCATGAAACCAGCAGTCGTGCAGATACCTGGGCTGGTTGTCGGCAATCCATTTGCCAGTGAAGATCAGGCGCTGTTGCCGTATACGTCGATGTTGCCCTTCTTTGTCTCCAGTAATTCCCTGATGGCCTTTGGAGAAATCTAAGTTCCTACACATTGAAATAAACAGAGACAGAGAGCTAAACAGAGATTGGGCTATAAATTAGACATATACATGAGGCAGTAGAAGTTCATACAGTTAATCTTTGTAAAAGCCTTTTTAGTATGTTTTTATATATACAAAATTAGAAAGCTATTTTAAGATGATTTTCCTGTAGTATTCTATATAAATAAAATGTAATGTTCATTTGTGGGATTAACATAACTCAAAAACCACTGGACGAATTGACACCAAATTTGGCCACAAGATACCTACTAACCCAAGGAGTGACCATCACCAAAAAAAATTGAGTTTGTCATTTGGGAGTTGTAGTTGCTGGGATTTATAGTTAACCTACAATCAAAGAGCAGAACCTCTATGACCAATAGAAAATACTTAATGCCATCCAGTCCAACCCCCTTCACCAGGGCAAGAAAACGTAATCAAATACTGTTTACCCACAAGCACAAAGAAATTACATATATTAGAAACCAACACTTTCTCATTACTTTGTTTTCCAGATCACCAGACTGGGCCACAGCAACGCATGGCAGGGGATGGCTAGTACACAGATAAATGTCCATACAATACATTTGCATAGGAACAAAATACAAAACCATGTGCCTACTTTCAAACTATAAGCCAACTGGGGTACGGACTGTTCCTTACATTCATGTACACAGACATAAAAAAACAAACTATAGACTAAAACAATAGCACTGCAAGGAGCTTCCATCCCAATTTCCATGTAATTATGCTGCGAACAGTAGTAGAAGATAACGTCCTGTCCTTGGGTACTACCAAAGCACAGCCCAGGAGTGAGCCTCTGACTTCTCAAGGAGTCTGGAAAGTTTTGCATTGCACAACTGAACACAGAACAAGGTAGAGTGTCTGTAATTTCAGAGGCAAAGTACTATCTGAAAAAGCCCCCCCCCCCAATAAAAAAACCTAAAAAAAGACTCCAAATGGCTCACAATAAAACTAATATGATGCAATGTAAAACCTAAAAATGTACAAACATTAACATAGAATTAAGCTAATAAAACAAAAATGTTGCCTAAGATATTTATCACATTACTGCATAGCAGCTTTCCTTTAAATATCTCTAAAATTTAAATTCAAAAATATTAAAGTAGATAGGAGGCTGAGAATATCTATGATTCTATAATTCAAACTACGATCATAAAAGTTTTAAGAGGAATGATAAAGAAAAAGAAAGTAACACAACAGAAGTATTGAAGGAGATGACAGGACATAGTCAGCCTTTGTGATGACATCATTCAAAATCATCATGGACTAAATTAGTTATTGAAACCAATAATCACTCACCTGAAGGAAGGTCTCAAAGCTAGGAATCCCTGCAACTCAAACTCCTCTGGAAGAGGTGTGGCTAGCAGGCAATCAAAAAAACAGATGAATAACTGTGTAAGACTGCATTAATCAACAAATCTAATTCACTACCAAATGGGGATCTAATCAGAATTAAGCGATTTCTAATTCTATTAATTTATATTCCAGAATTATGCATATTGACAATTTATATCAATGGAACACATTGAGTAAGATTTATGTCATAAATATAAGTTACATAAACGGATTTTAATGAAAAACAGCATAAAATATCATCTCAGTATAAAACTAAAATGGCAAATGCACTTCTGCCAATGATAATCTTCATTCACGTACATCTTCCAAACGGGTAAGAAAGGAGTCTTACCATTAGGGCAGGAGAGGTCTTCCTCTTGGGGCTGGAAACTGTTCAGAAGAGAAATCAGCCAAGGCCAAATGCTGCAAGGCAATAAGAACTTTTATGTCTATGCAAGTTTGCCAGACTATGTACCTTAACATCCTCCATTCTCTGTCTAAGCAATCTTCCAATTCCTCATTCAAAACTATATATTAGCAATATGAGTGTTTGAGTATGGGACCCATGGTGCTGCACATCATTCCTCCTTAATAGAGCATTTCTGTTTCCTTTTGTGCTGCAATTCACTGTGTTTTTTCAATGTTATGTTTTAATAATTGAAATATTTAATTCTATTGAAATATGTGTATTTTGGAGTTTTTAATTATGTATTTTGAGGGCCATGAGCTGCTTTGAATCACAGAATCATAGAGTTGAAAGAGACTGCATGGGCCACCTAGTGCAACCCCCGCCATGCAGGAAAAGCGCAATCAAAGCACCCTGACAGATGGCCACCCAGCCTCTGTTTAAAAGCCTCTAAGAAAGGAGCTTCCACCAGACTCTGAGGCAGAGAGTTGCACTGCTGAACAGCTCTTACAATCAGGAAGTTCTTCCTAATGTTGAGGTGGAATCTCCTTTCCTGTAATTTGCACTCATTGTTCTGGGTCTTAGTCTCTAGGGCAGCAGAAAACAAGCCTGCTCCCTCTTCCTTTTGACATTAAGTGTGCCTTCCCAGAATAAGGAAAACTCTCAACAATATGCTCTCAAAATGCACTTTAGCACTGATTTAGGACTGACTGCGTTCCCTCATCTCTCTTTGAAAACCCTATACCAGTTATATCCCACCTTGTTCATGCCCAGCAATTTTTTTTTAACTTTATTTTTTAAATTTTAAACTATTACATTTGGCCTGGCCATAGGTTTTTAAATGCTTGCATGTTACTGTTTATTGTTTATTTTTGTTAATGTGATTTATATTAAGTGTATTGTATTGATTGTTTTTGTTATTGCTTTTGTTTACTGATGTACTGCGGGTTTGGCCTCATGTAAGCCGCACAGAGTCCCTTGGGGAGATGGTAGCAGGGTATAAATAAAGTTTTATTTATTTATTATTATTATTATTATTATTATTGTTATTATTTCACATATTTATACATGGCTATTACAGAATCATAGAATCAAAGAGTTGAAAGAGACCTCATGGGCCATCCAGTTAAACCCCCTGCCGAGAAGCAGGAATATTGCATTCAAATCACCCCTGACAGATGGCCATCCAGCCTCTGTTTAAAAGCTTCCAAAGAAGGAGCCTCCACCACACTCCGGGGCAGAGAGTTCCACTGCTGAATGGCTCTCACAGTCAGGAAGTTCTTCCTCATGTTCAGATGGAATCTCCTCTCTTGTAGTTTGAAGCCATTGTTCCGCGTCCTAGTCTCCAAGGAAGCAGAAAACAAGCTTGCTCCCTCCTCCCTGTGGCTTCCTCTCACATATTTATACATGGCTATCATATCTCCTATCAGCCTTCTCTTCTTCAGGCTAAACATGCCCAGCTCCTTAAGCCGCTCCTCATAGGGCTTGTTCTCCAGACCCTTGATCATTTTAGTTGCCCTCCTCTGGACACATTCCAGCTTGTCAATATCTCTCTTGAATTGTGGTGCCCAGAATTGGACACAATATTCCAGGTGTGGCCTAACCAAAGCAGATCTAGATCTTCCCTAGATCTAGACACTATGCTCCTATTGATGCAGGCCAAAATCCCATTGGTTTTTTTGCCGCCACATCACATTGTTGGCTCATGTCTCCTCTCAACCTTCTCTTCTGCAGGCTAAACAAACCCAGTCCTAGAAGGAAATAGTGCAGCAGTAACAACAACAACAGTGCACTTATTATAGACTTATAGTAGCAGTCTACTACTATTTCTTGTTTCACCTAGGCTTTCTTTTGTACCAATATCTGCAGTGAGAATGACACATAGATGAATACTGTCTTTCTTTCTTTCTGAACTGAGGCAGCTAATTACATTCCCCAGAAAATCAGCCATGTCACTGTAGATAAATATAGGGTAGCCCAGAAGGAAGTCCAGGGGAATCCCTGGGAATTCTCAGCTCTGTCCAGCCATTTAGTTTGTCAATGGTTTGGAAATGCAGCATTTCATTTCATGTTTGTTTGTTTTAATTAAAAGTAATTGGAATGTCTAGATCCTCTCTGGCAAAAGATCTCTTCCAGATGACAGAGGGTCCAGACCAAATGCAAAAAAACACCATGGCAGCAAGGTTCTTTTCCAAATTATACCACAACTATCATCCTTCTCTATTCTGCCCAAAAAAAAAAAAGGGAAGGAAGAGAAGTACTGCATTGTTTTATGGATCTTATAACTGTGGGTGAAACAATTAAAAATGTGCTGCCTGCTGTTTTGTTTCTATGTGTAAGAAGGGAAGTATAGGAACAACATCTGTTGACATCCTTATTTGACTCATAACAGGCAAGCGACATACTAAAAATTTATTAAAGGTGTTCCAATGTTGTCTAGAATCACATAAAGAACAGATTCTAACTCAAAATCTATTGCATAGACCACTGAAGTTGTGAAGACTGTTGATGTAGGCAAATAACTTTATTACATTGTTCAGAAAGAAAGGGATTGGGTCAGCAGGCTCGAGGAATGCCTGCTATGAATTCCTGATACAGAAAACCATCATTTTTAAAGCTAGTCTGTGATAATTACATTAATGAGAAAGAAACCAATGTGGTACATGTGAAGAAAAGTGTTGCAAGATAGGTAAGTAGAAGGAACACTGTTTTTCAAAGCTGAATGGCATGGAAACCCAGCCTGAGGCAGACTCCCAAAGAGCTGGCAGCAATTTCTGCCAGACCATATGGCTTTAGGTCATGTAGCATCCTGAAACAGGAAGTGTCTTATTGATAGTAATCTCTATCTGCAAGTTGATAGTGTTCACACTGTTCAACAGCACTGAAAGCCATTTCAATTCTCAAATTAAGAGAAAATCTGGCTTTAGGAATTTACTTCTACATGTTGTAAAAGTCCAGATGAGAAGAACCTGTAGCACAGTGGTTCTCAACCTGGGGTCCCCAGATGTTTTTGGCCTTCAACTCCCAGAAATCCTAACAGCTGGTAAACTGGCTGGGGTTTCTGGGAGTTGTAGGACAAAAACATCTGGGGACCCCAGGTTGAGAACCACTGCAGTAGCTAATTCTTTGCACATTTTAATAGTCCATGGGTTAAATATTGACAAAAGTTCTACTGGACAGCCTAGAGATGCTGGAGAGGACATTTCCATTAGGTGGAGGCTGAGCATATAGTTGTGCTGGCTGGCTTAAAGATTCCTAGAGAGATGTCCTCTCGGGTAAAAGAATAGTGAGTTTTTATCTCGCCCGAGTTTTTAATTAGTTTTTCTTTCAATCATTACATGTAGCCCACCCATTGTCACTGTGTTTGTGCTTATTATAATGTTATATTGTTATGCATTCACATGTTTTATGTAAATATTATGTTGTTGTTTATTGTTTGCGTTTTCGGTTTGCGTTTTCGGTTTTACTCTGTTGTAATTTGTGGTTTGGGCTGGACCTCATGTAAGCCGCTCCGAGTCCCCATCAGGGAGATGGTGGCGGAGTATAAATAAATTTATTATTATGATATTATTATTTTCAATTCCCACCCATGTGGACAGTGGAGCAATTCAAATGAGAACCACTCCTTCTGAAATACACAATAGCTCTGAATTACGGGGCTGCTCTTCCATTGAAACTCCCAGGGCATTTACCAATTTTTGCTAATGGCAGGGTAAAACCAGGGCCACTTCTACACCAGCCATATAATGTAGATTCAAACTATGATTCAAACTATGGAAACCCATTAGGCATTTATTTTTGGTGAAGTGTACTTCACCACAATATAAAAGGCTTTAAAGCAGTGTTCCTCAAACTCTGCTTCTCCGGGTGTTTTGGATTTCAGCTCACACAAATCCTATCATCTGGTAAACTGGCTGGGATTTCTGGGAGCAGAAGTCCAAAACACCTGGAGGAGCACAATTTGAGAAACACTGGCTTAAAGTATGCAGATCTTAGAATATAAACCGCCTTCTAAACTGAAGGTACACACACTGTCCCAACCTTCTTGAAAAAGAGAACGTCTGGAGAACAAATTTCAAGGAAGAGGCAAAGCAGAAGAGCTAATTATTTCAGTTGGGGATCAAGTGATAAACCACATTTAAATCCCAGAACTACACCAGTCATTCATCTTTCAGAGAGATTCTAGTGGGGATATTCTGCTATGCCCCCAAAACATCAATTCAATACCGAACAGTGAGAAAACACAAGACAGTGAGTATCATTTTCTGATCTGAGAGCAGCAGATTGGAAGCAACAAGAGACGAGGGTGGCCACACCAATGGCATGACTTTTGTCGTGGGTCTAACTTTAAAATAGGAAGAGCAGTTTTGATGGGCCCACCCCCACCCCACACAATACTACATCCATGATATGCTACCAACATTCCATGGCAAGGTAGAGAAATGCTTTAACTAAAGCAGGCAAATCTTGTTTTTCACTATCAAATTGTAGCAGAACAGCTCACCTGCGAGGTAGCTACAAATATAATTGCTATTTACCTAGCATTTTGAAAAATACAATGCGATTCATGCTGACTCAGTAATCATTGCAAAATTGGAATTATAATACTGAGGTGCAGATAAGCAAAAGTGGTTTGCCACTTCCATAACTTTTATAGCACTATTTAAATGTGAACAAGGTACTTCCTATGCATTGTACTGTATTAACGTTCATTCTGATGTCCGATGTTTACCACAAATAGAGAAGCATCCCGAGCTCTGAAGATCACCTGGGAAGGAATCCCACTGGAGCATTGCAGCACACCCAAATACCTGGGAGTCACTCTGGACCGTGCTCTTACCTACAAAAAGCATTGCCTGAACATCAAGCAAAAAGTGGGTGCTAGAAACAATATCATACGAAAGCTGACTGGCACAACCTGGGGATCACAACCAGATACAGTGAAGACATCTGCCCTTGCGCTGTGCTACTCTGCTGCTGAGTATGCATGCCCAGTGTGGAACACAACTCACCACACTAAAACAGTGGATGTGGCTCTTAATGAGACATGCCGCAGTATTACGGGGTGTCTGCGCCCTACACCACTGGAGAAATTACACTGCTTAGCCGGTATTGCACAACCTGACATCCGCTGAGAAGTGGCAGCCAATAGTGAAAGGACCAAGGCAGAGACATCTCCAGCTCATCACTTGTTTGGGTATCAGCCAGCACATCAACGACTTAAATCCAGACATAGTTTTCTAAGATCTACAGAGACACTCACTGGAACACCTCAGCAAGCGAGAGTCCAAAAGTGGCAGGCTCAAACCCAGAACCTCAACCAATGGCTGATACCAAATGAAAAACTCCCCCCTGGGCACACAGAGGACTGGGCGACTTGGAAGGAGCTGAACAGACTGCGTTCTGGCACCACAAGATTCAGAGCCAACCTTCAGAATTGGGGCTACAAAGTGGAATCCTTGACATGCGAGTGCGGAGAGGAGCAAACCACTGACCACCTGCTGCAATGCAACTTGAGCCCAGCCACATGCACAATGGAGGACCTTCTTGCAGCATCACCAGAAGCACTCCAGATACTGGTCAAAGGACATTTAATCAACTACCAAACTCACACATTTTGTATTTTCTCTGTTTGCTTTGTTCTGTTAGAAATGTAATATAATTGACTGGCTGCCCTGACACGAGAAATAAAAAACCCCCCACAAATTCTTAATTAGTAACTATATAAATTCAAGCAACTGATAAATGAGACAAAAATATGAAAATGCAAGACTCACTATTGTCTTTCATCAACAACAGTCTCCTGAAATACGCTGGGTCTAAGTTTAAGCCAATCCATTGAGACTTTGAGTGCAGGAAGGGGATACGAACCCCAAGACTCTTCCTGGTAATCATTCTGGAGTGGACACTTGCACAAGATTCCAAGAAAAGTCACTAGGAAAAACAGAAATATTACAGACTTTTATGAAGATCAGCTATTCTGAAATTTGGATATGAGAAAGAAGATGTTGGTAGCAGATGGCAAAGGTAAATAGCATCATATTTTCACTTATAAAACAAAAGGATATTAGCCCTATCTAGTCTGTCAGAAATCAAACTAAATGATGGGAGCATGGCTATTTGTATCAGCCTCATTCCTAATTCTCATCTTTCCATATGTTGGAAAGGGAAAGTTTACACTGAGTTTACTCTACTAATGTTCTCAATTAATTGTTTTCAGAAGCCTTCTGGTTACAAATGTTCTCTTCTTAATGTGTGAAAGGGACTAAAGCAGTGCTTCTCAACCTGGAGCCGGGACCCCTGGGGGGGTCACAAGGGGGTGTCAGAAGGGTCGCTGAAGACCATCATAAAACATAGTATTTTCTGTTGGTCATGGAGGTTCTGGATGGGAAGCTTGGCCCAATTCTATCGTTGGGAGGGGTCAGAATGCTCTTTGACTGTAGGTGAACTATAAATTCCAGTAATGACGACTCCCAAATGTCGAGGTCTTTTTCCCCCAAACTCCACCAGTGTTCACAATTGAGCATATTGAGTATTCGAGCCAAGTTTGGTCCAGACCTATCACTGTCTGAGTCCACAGTGCTTTCTGGATGAAGGTAAACTACAACTCCAAAACTCAAGGCCAATGCCCACCAGACCCTTCCAGTATTTTCTGTTGGTTGCGGGAGTTCTGTGTGCCAAGTTTGCTTCAATTCCATCACTGGTGGAGTTCAGAATGCTCTTTTATTGTAGATGAACTATAAATCCCAGCCACTACAACTCTCAAATGACAAAATCAATCTCTCCCTCCCCCCCCTCCTCCAACCCCACCAGAATTCAAATTTGGGCGCATTGGGTATTTGTGCCAAATTTGGTCCACTGAATCAAAATACATCCTGCATATTGGATATTTACATTACAATTCATAACAGTAGCAAAATAACAGTTATGAAGTAACAACAAAAATAATTTTATGGTTGGGGGTCACCACAACATGAGAAACAGGATTAAGGGATCACAGCATTAGGAAGGTTGAGAAACACTGGACTAAAGGACAGTAAAAGAGGGCTTGTTGTCCATGGGCTAGAACAGGGTGAGCAGATTTCAGGTTGTGATAGGAATGCTCTAACCAACACTGGCCGTGTTAGTTAGAGCTCCTGGGACTTGCAAGCCAACATCTAAAGTACTCTATGATTTCTACCTTCATTTTAAAGTACATAATCCAAGCCTTTCCCACTTCATAACAGTACTAACAAACCCATGAGGAAGGGGCAGAGACTGGATGTTTTTTATTATCCATGCCACTATGAGAGGATGACCTCAGCAATAGTTAACATTTTCTTGGAGCAAAGGGAAAATGTAACAAGTTCTAGAAACAATAGAAAGCATTCTAGGTACAACTAATGTACAACGTCTTCCTCTTTCTCATGCAATGCTGAATATTTGAGCTGGAAAATTCTGTCACTGTCAGTGCTGTCTCTTCATTCAAATTGGTTGAGAGAGCAGTCATCCTTCTTATGCAGCATTCAAGAAATTTGCTAGGAGTCAACCTACAATATTTTGCCTACTCCTTGTCTAGAATCTCATCTCACTGTTCAGCAAACCTAGCTATAAAGCCTGCAGCAGTTTCCATACTAAGTTTCCATACTTACTGAAGAGTGCCAGCAACTGTGTCCAGCAGAGCTGTTCATCCTGACTGTAACTGTGCTGCTCAGTCTCATTGCTGAAGTCTCGTAAATGGTGTAGCTGAAATAGGTTGATGACGGTAATGTGGACGAGTTGCTGAGAATTAAAGGTTTTTTGGAACAGCAGCCTCTGCAATTAAAAAAAATGTACTGTAATCATATGTGTTTGGAACTTGGGGACTGCCTGTAGTAGTATTTGTGCGAGCTTCATTTTAAAAAAATACAGAACCCTCTTTCCTATTTGGGTTTTTATGCTTTATGTTTCATTTAATATTTATTAGTTACATTTATTACATTGCCTTTATACACAATATTAGTGCGCAAGCAAAAAGGTATATTTTTGTGCAAGCAAAGATAGCCAGATTCCAAAAGGAATTAACAAGAGCAAATCAGATTGAAACAGCACTAGTAACAAAATTTCAACTCCCATCAGGTTTAATAAAATTTACAATAGGATACTGTTAGCAGAAGGAAATCTTAGGATGACTCTTACTGGTTTTCCCAGATAAGAATTTTTACAATGTAGGTTCCAACACAGAGAGTACAGAGCAACCCTACTATCTATAGGTGATACATTCCTAAATGCACCACAGAAACAGGAAACTATGAACATTAGTGAACAAAATTGAAATTAACTAGTATTACTAGAAGGTATCCTCCCTAGGAATTTGCTAAGTGTTCCAGGTTGACTCGATGATGATGATGATGATGATGATGATGATGATAATAATAATAATAATCCTTTATTTATAACCCGCTACCATCTCCCGAAGGACTCAGTGCAGCGTACAAGAGGCCGAGACCCAATACATCAATAAACAACAACAACACATCAATAAATAACTCAAGCAATAGACAATGACAATGACAACACGACGCAATTAAAATCAGTGTTAGGGCCAGATGATGATGATGATGATAATAATAATAATAAACTTTATTTATAACCTCTGGTGGAGACATACTATAAAACTGGAGAACCTAGAAAATTTCTAGAGAGGAAGCATTTTGTGAGATGTGAAACTACAAATACTGGGCTTATGGGTATGGGAGTGGAACTACATTTTTCTCTATGTCACAATATTCTTTCAATAAAAAGAGACGGAAGAAGGCATCTTCAATCTATATAAATAAAAATGTAATGTTCGTTTGTGTGATTAACATAACTCAAAAACCACTGGACGAAGACACCGAATTTGGACACAATACACCTATCAGGCCAACGAGTGACCATCACTCATAACAACATTGAAAAACACAGCAGATAAGAGTATAAAAGCAAAAAAAAATCACAACGCATGTGCAAAATCACATCTATACACACATATATGCATATACACAAACACAAAACACATATACACAGAAAGGAGAAAGGAAAGAAGGAGAGGAGGGAAAGGAGAAAAGGAAGGAAAGGAAGGAAGGTAGAGAAGGAAGGAGAGAAGGAAATAAAAAAGTGAAAGGAAGGAAGGAAAGAGAGGGAAGAAAGGAGAGAAGGAACAAAAGAAAGAGAGAAAGAAGGGAGGGAGGAAAGAGACAAGGAAGCGAGGAAAGAAACAGGTAGACAAGGAAGAAAGAAGAAGGGAAAGAAAAAGAGGGAGGGAGGGAAGGAGAGAAAGAAAGGAGAGAAAGAAGGAGGAAAGGTTGGCCACAGCAACTCGTGGCGGGTACAGCTAGTAGATATCAAGATGACATGGATGGTGTTGATGAACATAATAAGGATCTCCAAACGCACAGGGAACCAAATATAAATTCTCACACTAATGTGAGCTCAGCAATTTGCAAAACTAACCTTGAACTGCTCCTCTAATTTCTCACGAAGAGGATTCAGTTTCTCCAAGTTCTTACTCAGAAACACATGGCCATGGAATTTTATAAATGCCTTAATAAAATCAGATACACCCCACTGAGTCTTCACCTCATCACGACTGTAATCAGAAGATAAAAATTGTATTTCAGTCTTTGTAAATACAGATAAGAAAAAGGGGAAAATATTTTCTTCACTGCTCGGGTTGCTTTACAGGAATTTATATGAACTTTTCTCATTACATGAAACAGAACAGATAGTTGTGGCTAGCAGCGCTTCCCAAGACAATTGCATTGGAGATAAAAGCAATAATAACGTTCAGCCCTTCTCAGATTAAAAGGATTGTATCATTCATAGCAAATGCTTTAACATCAAGGCATACAACATCATAAAGAAAAAATACTGGCTAGTGCCAAAAATAGATGTGGGCTCCATGCAGCAGAAAGTGCATTGCATTAAAAATCCTTATGCATTTAAACAAATAAGAACATTTACATGGCACATACATTTGTTAAAAGACCAATAAAATTAGTGCTCATAATCTATTCTCTCCACTAAAATCATTTTCAGTAGGGTTGACAGAAATCATACAAAATTGGCTTAGGAGCCACATCAGGCTCAAGAAAGTTAGTCAGCCATTTTTGTATGGATGATTTAAAGCAAAACTGATTAGAATGCAAACCCAAAGCTCTCTTATTCTGGTTACTTGTCTTTATACGTAAATATATAATTAGTAAGCAACTGTTAAAGAAATATATACTGTACAGACAAACATACACCAAGCACACTCCTGAAAATAATTGCCCAACAATAAATTACTGGTACAGGGAAATCAACAATAATTTTCATGTCAATAGCATACATTTTGATGTATGTCTAAATATAATGACAAATCGGAGATGTGGGCGTGGGAAAGATCTGATCATTTGAGGGGCCACCAGCCCTTTAGATTTCTTGCATTCTAAAAGAAGTGAAATGTTTCTCCTAATGCTTCATTATCAGCACAAGATCTAATCTAAAATATGTTTCACCTTTTGCATTTGGCCCTGTGCATCAAACTGAATTCCGCCCATGGGCCAAATTTGCATTAGGAGCCTATGTAAGAGGAGAAATGAAATAAAAATCAATTACCTGCAACTCATGTTCATGTTGAGAATATATGTGTGTGTTTTGATTAAGTGTATTGTAGTTTTAAAAGTTAGTGATTGTGTGCTTAGAAATGCGATGCTTTGTAATTCAATGTTCCGGAGATGTAATTCTTGTGTGGAAAGGGTTAACCGTATCATGAAGGGGGAGTCATAAATCTCAGTGCGGAAAGTGTTGTACGCTGTGTTGCGTTGTATGTCATCACGTCACTGTGGAATGTAAGGAGGTGCCTGATTCTAAATTACAACGAAAAGCCGAAATATGTAGCCGCTTGAGATGTTTTCTTGTTCTGCTTAGCTTCTAGTGTAAATATTATTTTTTAGTTTTGTGTTTAAAGTAGGTTTTTAGACAAGAAGATGTGTTTCAGTGCCTTGTGTGTGCTGAGATCGTCGCCATTCCATTGACAGTTCATTCAGAAGCACTCATATAAAGAGACATATGTGTATACTGCAGCTTTTTTTTGGGGGGGGGGGGGAGCTGTAAGAGGGCCTCACATTGTAAATCTTATAAATGACCACACACAGCCGAAAAGGGATCTTCCTTACCTTTCCAGTGCTTTAGAAAGTGCTTTTTGTAGGTTAGTAGAAGCCGCTGGGAAAGGGAATTTCACAGCAATGCTTCTGCAGTAGTAGAAAATTGTGGTCAGGTGATCTCCTTTGGAAGATGCTAAAATGGCCAGCTGATTGTAAGGCTGACCTAAAAAAAGAATGGAAAAGAAAATAGTTTCTCAGGGAGCTCAGAAGTGGGGAATCAAGTGGTACTCAAAATGTTGCTAGATTGTAACTCCACTCACCATTGGCAATCCTAGCTAGGGCTGAAGGCAATGCACCCCAAAAATATTGTACAATGTCACATTCCCCATGTTTGTTCTATAAGTACAATCCAGTTGTCTTGCTGTGTTTTAGTTAAAACTATAGTTGCTTATCTATATTTTAAAAACTGGTATGTTACTTTAAATCTACTGTATTTCTTCAATCCTAAGGCACACTTTTTAATCTATACTAGCGGTCCCCTGCCACGCGTTGCTGTGGCCCAGTCTGGTGATCTGGAAAATAAAGTAATGAGAAAGTGTTGGTTTCTAATGTCTTGATGCTTGTGTGTAAACATTATTTCTTGCTGTTTCTTTGCCAGTGTTGATGTGGAGATTGTCTGGTTTGCCTACTCTGAAACATGCAACATATCATTGTTCTTTTTTAGGCGTCCCTTTGATACTGCATCTGTCATATACATATATGTGCGAGTGTGAATGGCTGGATGGCCCTTTGTCAGGAGGGCTTTGATTATGTTTTCTTGCCCTGGTGGAGAGAGTTGAACTGGATGGCCTTAAGGCAGCATTTCTCAACCTGGGGGGTCACCAAGGGAGTGTCAGAAGGGTCACCAAAGACCACCAGAAAACACAGTATTTTCTTTTGGTCATGGGGTTCTGTGTGGGAAGTTTGCCCCAATTCTGTCCTTAGTGGGGTCCAGAATGCTCCTTGATTGTAGGTGAACTATAAATCCCAGTAACTACAACTCCCTAATGTCAAAGTCTATTTCCCTCAAACTCCGCTTGTGTTTATATTTGGGCATATTGAGTATCCGTGCCAAGTTTGGTCCAGATCCATCATTGAGTCCACAGTGCTCTTTAGCTATATGTGAACGACAACTCCAAAACTCAAGGTCAATGCCCACCAAACCCTTCTAGTGTTTTCTGTTGGTCAGGGGAGTCCTGTGTGCCAAGTTTGGTTCAATTCCATCATTGGTGGAGTTCAGAATGCTCTTTGATTATAAGTGAACTATAAATCCCAGCAACTACAACTCCTAAATGACAAAATCATAATTTTTTGAGTGATGGTCACTTCTTGTGTTGTGAGACGTTTTGTTGCCAAATTTGGTGTGATTTCGTTCATTGGTTCTTTTGTTTTTAAGGTACTCATTACGCACAGAGCATTTTTATATATAGAGATAAACATCTCTAAAAATGTGGCATGTCTTAGAATCCCAGGTGTATCTGATGTATTTTTGTTGGTGGTGGTGGCGGTACTGAAATTAGGGTATGTCTTACAATTTTCAATGACAGTCATTCCCATGAAGACTCTCAAGGGAAGAAGAAGACTGAAGGCATGCTAATCCCAAACTATGAAGGACCTGAAAAGGAACCACCAGCCTATTGAACGGGGCATGGGGCAGACAGGAGTGGAAGTGTATCTTTTTCACTGTTGCTATATTCTTTCAATAAAAAGAGATATGGAAGAAGGCATTTTCAATCAATATTAAGATGACTTGTCTGATGTGATGAACGTAACAAGGATCTCATAATATAACTATTATTAGATTGCTCTTTTTGACACAAATATGGCTTCCATATTTTCAAACTGCTCAGCACTACATTTAAGAAATCTAATTACAGGGAGAAAGAGAGAGCGTAGACTGAAACAGTCTACGCTCTACAGAGGTTGAGACGATCGGGATATAGAAGTTTTAAATAAATAAATGAATAAATAAATATTTAAAGCATTAAACAAACACAATCCATCATCAACAGAGTTGGCTATTTTACAATTTATTGAAAAACAACAAAAAGATGTTTAAATAAAGTATCAGTAGGTACAGTGTGCCCTCACTGTTTCGTGGTTCACTTTTCGTGGACTCGCTGTTTCACGGGTTTTTAAAAAATAAATATGAATTTATTGGGGGTGAGTCAGGGAAAGAGGAGGAGGAGAAGAGGCCGCCACCGAGACAAGTGAAGCATGCTGCCGCCTCCTTCCTACTCTGGCAGCTCCTTGGGTTGCTGTTGCTGAAAATCTGCGATGTAGGGATGTCTGGGACCCCCTCCACTCCTCTTCCTCTGAGGCGAGGCCGCTGAGGAAAGGCCAGGCCTGGCCCGCAGGCAGGCAGGCAGGGAGGAAGGGAAAGAGCGTGCCTGCCTGACCAAGTCCTGCTGTTGCTGCTGAGGATGCTTCCCACAAGCTCTCCCTCTCTCCTCCTCCGTTTCCCCCTCCTCTTCTTACTTCCTAAATGTCACGAGCTCTCCCTCCGCCTCCGCCTCCCGGCCTGCCCGTCTGCACCACAGGCCATGGTTCCCAGCGTGGAGAGCCAGCTGGTCCCCAAAGAGGTGAGCGGGACTGAGACAGGAGGCCCAAAGGCGCTGGAGGCGGAGGGGACAGGGTCGGGAGGGCGAGGGCCTGCTCACCTCTGGAGAGATGACTGGCCATGACCATCCAAATATGGTAGGAATTTATTTCACTACTGCAGTGATAGGTCTTGTCTCCAGGCTAAGGGGGGGGGGGGGGCTGCTAACAGGTGCTCATAGAAAAAGAGAAGAGAGTTTGGTATTCTAAATATTTTAAAAAGCCTGTAGATTTATTTGAGTACAGTAGGAGAAAAGAAGGCCAGATGGAACTATCTGGAGAAACAGGGATTTCTAAAAGAGGGAAGAAATATATAGATGGTTTTTTTATCAACAACTAAATTGCATGTTATTATTTTACTAGCTTGGGGACCCGGCACTGCCCGGGTTATCTGAGAAAGGAATTGTGTATCAAGTTTGGTCTTTATCAGTTATTTATATGGCTTGCAGTGGTCTCAGGAAGTTAGTGAAGGTACTGTGAGTCCCATCATCTGTAGTCTATCCTCCTCCAAACTGCTCCAGGATGGAGAGTGGGTCATGGGGGCTCTGCGTGCCAAGTTTGGTCTTGATTGGTCATTAGATGAGTGTTGCAGAAGTCTTGGGAAGTGAGTGGAGCTACTTGAAATCCCATCATCCATATTCTGTTCTCCCCCAAACTTCACCAGAATATTGAGTTGGCCATAGGGACTCTCTATGCCAAGTTTGGTCTTTATTGGTGTTTGGATGAGTGTCGGTGTGGTTTCAGGAAGTGTGTGAAAGTACTGCAAGTCCCATCGTCCATGGTCCATCCTCCTCCAAACTGCAGTAGGATGTAGAGTGGGTCATGGGGGCTGTGTGCCAAGTTTGGTCTGTATTGGTAATTTTCTGACACAGCCTAAGGCCTTTTTCTCTCCTCTCTTGTCACCTCAGAATCTTGGAACTTTCAGGCTGGCCAATCAGAGACCATATGCAAATTGTTGTTTTAGCAAGCATTACGTAGGTTACTGATGACGGGGAGACTAATTGTTTGAAAAAAACATGAACCAATTCCTATGTACACTATTCATATCTTATTTGTAGTGCAAAAAAAAAAAAAACACCCTATGAAAGTACAATACAATATTCAAAATTAAGATCAATTTTAACTAACAAAAACCTACCAGTATTTAAATGGTTGTTGTTATGTGTCTTCAAGTCATTTCAGACTTAGGACGACCTTAAGGCTAAAGTTTAGGGAAGATGGTGGGTAAATGACCTTGGAGGGCCACCTGGTCTTAATAATATAAAATCTTCAGCAATACTGTTTTTGCATAATCACTTTGGTTATACCCAAGGTTTTCAAGAGCTTAAAGCTGGAATCCTGAATACATAAAGCCCATTGAGGTATTGGAATTTGTTACCAAAGATGTAATGATCTTGATCAAAATCTATCAAATGCTCACCATTAGAGGGGACAAGCTGAGCTGCATGTCTGTAGTAGGACTCAGCCTGGCTGGTCTGATTTCTGTAGCGAGCTGAAACAAAGATTAAAAATGTTAACATCATATGACCTCCTAGCCAACCTGTAAAATTATTTCTAAATTAACTACATCTTGTGTTCTATAGAAAGTAACAGTACACAGAAAATCTTGCTATTGTAAACCTAGAGAGTTTGAGCTTCATAAAGAAAGCCTTTTAATGACACTCTAGAGCTTGACAGTTGACACAATCTATTCAAGTTGCTTAATGAGAAGACCAGCTCCAGATCAATGGTCCAGAACTTCTATCACAGCACAAGGGTTTTCAAAAAAAATTACTAACCTTATCTGGCACAAGGAGAGAAATATACACTGTACATGACTTCCTTATATACAATTCTATACAATTACACACAGCAATCTCTGATTGGTTCCCAACTCATTAACTTAACTCAGAACCAGGATTACATCATTCACAATCACCTGGACTAGGCCAGAACACATTCCCCAAATGGTTCCCTATATACAGTTAATGCATGACGCAGCATTTCCAAAAGTCGCCTGAGGGCTGAGAAAAATGGTATATAAATAAAGTAAATAAATATTGTCCATTGTCAAGAGACCATAAAAGTATTACCTTTCATGGCTTACTACTGTTCATAATGGCTAGTATATGACAATCTTCCCTACCCCCTTTAATGCCACATGTTATATACACACATAACTCATTTAGGTTATGATAAACAGAGCTTTTTCTACTACTACTACTACGACGACTATTACTCACCAATGTCTCCAAGGTGGACAAGGCAATGCTGGCATATATACGAGCAGGAGCTAGATTGTGGCTTCACAATGGCGCTGGTGTGCGTCTGTTTATTGCTGATAATTCCCAGTTGGGAGGACTTTACACGACAGGGTAAATCTACATTAAACACCGTACACAGCTCCTGCAGTAGCTGCAATTAAAAATGACCAAATTTGATAGCTTTATCAGATAATACAGCCAGTTATCTAAGACTCATATTCTCAATGAAGCCCTGAAAGTACTGTTCAACTTTTAGAGTTCAACTGCTTTCCCTGATTATTATAGTCACCTTCTCTCCACCACTTATCCTTTATCATCATCCAATTGAAGAGCTTCTACAGATCAAAAGTTCATAAAAATGTAATGGGGGCACATTTAATAATTCTAGACTAATTTTATCTTTCCCCAAATAAAATTAAGGAAGGGGCTTTAGCTCAATAGTAGAGCCTATGCTGTTGGATTAAGGTCCCAGGTTCCAAACAGAACATTTCTAGTTCAGAAAATCTCAGTTGGCAGAACTGAAATTAATTTGGTGTCAAATGAGCTATGTGATTTTCATACTCCGCAGTCATAATTTTGTCCCCATCTTACCTGTGTGTAGAAGCCACTAGCTGCTTCTAAGAACAAAGAGAGATTTGCTTGAACCTCACTCCGATTTGGATTTGATCGGTTTTTTGCTTGACCCTGTAGAGTTGTGATCTGATTCTTAAAGGCATGATTCCACCTAGAGAAAGAAAGTATTTTTCACATAGTTATATATGACATAAATCTAATTTGTTGAAGGACGCTGGACTCAGTAAAATCGAAAATTGGTTTTTTTAAAAAAACAGAGTTAAATATCACAAGTCTTTAGTCTTATGATTTTATGTGCAACTTTTATTTATTATTCTTTATATATTTAAAACATTTATTTTCCGCCCTTCTCACCCCGAAGGGACTCAGGGCGGAGCACAGCATATACACGGCAAACATTCAATGCCGGGACACAGATCCACATACAATACATAAACATTTAAAAAAGCATTTTTTCAAACTATTAAAATACACCGTTTAAAACCGTCGTAGTCATCTGTGTCAAGTCTAATTGGCCTGGTCATATTTCATATTGCCGCTTTATTGCCCTGTCCTGAAAGCTTGATATTGTTTTTATTGCTTTTGTGGTGTTTTATATTGTTTATTGTTTTAATCTGTATTATGTTTTTATATGTACTGATTTGTTGGAAACCGCCTTGATTTGCCGATTGGCTGAGAAAGGCGGTATACAAAAACAGTAAATAAGTTTTTACCATCCTTCTAAAGGACAGGAGGGAGGGGGCCAACCTGATCTCACCAGGAAGGGAGTTCCATAGCCAGGGAGCAATCACCGAGAAGGCCCTGTCTCTCGTCCCCACCAATTGTGCCTGTGACAATGGCGGGAAGGAAAGCAGGGCCTCCCCGGAGTATCTTAATCCCCGCGATGGTTCATAGGGGGAGATGCGTTTGGACAGGTAATTTGGGCCGGGGCCGTTTAGGGCTTTATAGGCCAAAGCCAGCACTTTTAGGGGGGGAAACACCCCTATACAATGGTACATAGCATGTGCTAATGAAAAGGCATGTTTCCCACTTTTTAAACTTACAATTTATTGTTAAAGTATTGAGAATGTCTCTCCTAGAATTCACCAGTTTTTAAGGCCTAGTTAGTACTGAATGTTAATAGTACTAAGCAACACTGTTCACAATATAATTGCTTTGACTATTACAGAGATTATGTTGTGGGTTTAACTACACACACATAGAGAAGGAGAGTGTGTGTGTGTCAGGGACCTTCCAGACAGAACCTATATCCCAGGATCTAATCCCAGGTTTTCTGCTAAACCCAGATTATCTGGCATATAATCCAGTTTAAAGAAGAAAACCTGGACTCAGATCCTGGGATATAGGGTCTGTCTGGAAGGGCCCTCAGTTACTGTCGAATTCTACCCATCTTGTTAAAGAACAAGAAGTCCAAGTTAGGCATCATACATATTGTATTACACATAAACATACACTCGAGAGAGTGCATGTTGTCAATTAGAGATCCCTTAATGCTAGAACTAAATCTACCAGTTATCAATAACCACTGTAGACAAAAGCCGAGGGTGAAAGGCATCCAGGATAATTGGGGATTTAGAACCTGATCCATCACTCTACACTTGCTTTTTAAAGTGCCTCCAAGCAGACGTAACTACTGATGACGTTTCTAAAGTGTCTACAGATGGGATTCAACATAGGGGAATGAACCCATAGTTCCATTTGGATCCCTCTGATAAGGATCCTAGCACAGGATATAAATACTTTCTGCAAAACACATTGCCAATTTCCCACCTTCTAGCTGTTCCACCCATAAGGAGAATAATTATTTTGCTAGTACCCTAATACTATCCAGTGTTTGAAATACTTCCACATCAAATACATCACCTGAAAGCAGAAATCAGGAAAATGTGGCCTGTCAGAATTATCCATATTTACTAAAGTCTAATGACCCATCGAATCTAATGCGCATCTCAAATGTCAAAGCTCTAAAACCCAAAAAAGTATTTGCTGCCAAATGTAATGTGCAGTGGCAAAAAGGGTACTCTTTGTAATATGCCAAAAAAAAGTGCACATTACTGTTATGATGTGCTTAGGATTCCTTCGTTATAAACATTTCTGTTAGAACACCAAAAACTTCAAAAAGTGGAAAAGAAATCCATTTTGCATGTCTATGTTGCAGAATGAATCCACTTTAATTGCCTTGGTTCAATGCTATGGAATCTGGGGACTGTAATAATAATAATAATAATAATAATAATAATAATAATAATAATAATAATAATCCCAACAACTTTATTTTTGTACCCCGCCTCCATCTCCCCGAAGGGACTCGGGGCGGCTTACATATGGCACAATGTGCCTAAAACAATGCATAAAATAAGCATACAATACGAGATAAAACCAATAGTGTATTAAACAATAATTTAAGCTTAAAAACAGCGCCCAGGAACCCATGGTGGGAACTATTGTAAAACATGGACAACTGCAAGCAGGATCAAGGGAATAGGATAGTGCAAGATGTAGCACATAAACTAGGGCATAGGGCGAATGTGCAGTACTGTATCATTAATTGCAGACCATTGGGACTAGACATTTTCAAAGGCTTGGCCAAACATCCAAGTCTTCAACTCCTTCCGGAAGGAAGACAGCGTGGGATCCTGTCACACTAGGGCAGGGGTCCTCAAACTAAAGCCCAGGGGATATGGATACGGCCCTCCAAGGTCATTTACCCGGCCCTCGCTCAGGGTCAACCTAAGTCTGAAACGATTTGAAAGCACACAACAACAATCCTATCTCATCAGCCAAAAGCAGGCCCACACTTCCCATTGAAATACTAATAAGCTTATATTTATTATACTTGTTCTTGATTTTTATTATTGTATTGTTTTAAAGTGTTTTTTGCACTACAAATAAGATATGCGCTGTGCATAGGAATTCATTCATGGTTTTGTTTTTGTTTTTCAAATTATAATCCAGCCCTCCAACAGTTTGAGGGACTGTGACCTGGCCCTCTGTTTAAAAAGTTTGTGGACCCCTGCACTAGGGGCACACAACCTCCCTAGGGAGGGCATTCCAAAGCCACAACCAAGAAGGCCCTCTCTCTAGTCCCCCCCCCCCCACCAACCACGCTTGTGACGGTGGCGGGACCACAAAGAGGGCCTCCCCGACAGATCTTAAGGCTCAAGCAGGAACATGGGGGGATGTGGTCACAAAGATCGGCAGGGCCCGAGCCGTTCAGGGCTTTGTAAGTTTTGAGCCTTTTTTGCCAAAGAATGCTGGAGCCTCGCCAAACTACAATCCCAGGATCGCATAGTATTGAGCCAGGCCATTTAATTAGAGATGATGTCCATCAAGAGGAGCTCCAAGTGCACCTCAAACACCTTCCACTTTTGCTGGAAATGTAATGTGCACCACAGTTTTGGCAAGGTCATTTAGACAACAAAGATGAGCATTAGATTAAGAGTAAATACAGTAATTTATATCATAGACCAAGGTGTTCATTGCCAAAATTTAGGATGCTTTAAGGGTGAAGATTTGAAATATTACCTAAACTAAGATTTTAGTCTCTCAGCAATAATAATAATAATAATTCCCTTCATAGTTTCAAATGCTCTTTTGTGCATCTCTTCCAGGTTAGCAATAATAATAATAATAATAATAATAATAATAATAATAATAATAATAATCTTTATTTATAACTCGCGACCATCTCCCCCAACAGGGGACTCAGAGCGGCTTACATGAGGCCAAGCCTGAACAACAAATTACAATACAAAAATACAAATTGCAGTAAAATAAACAACATAACAATAAAGTATAAAACATCAAAGCATATAAACAATATACACAAAACATAGAAATCAAAACATAATGACAGAGAGCAGACTACATGTACATAAAATGATTTAAAAACTCAGCAAGACCCAGATCTAAAATATATAGGTTTTCAAATACAACAAAACCTAAAAGACATTTCTGATCCTAATGTTTTCCTCACTTCAGCTAGAATACTGGGCTGCTAGAGAGCAGTAACACTTAGAAAACATTCATAAATGAGTATGAAGACTGAGTGACAAGCAACCCTACAGAGCAGAATGATCATTTTTAGGACAACCCTGCCAGAATAACATATGGTAGAAATAAAGAACCTGTTGGAAGCTCTTACTCTTTTACAGCCCTATCTCCCACTGACTTAAAAAAGCTTCATATATAAGCATTTCATCTAAATAAATAAATATGGAGCCCCTGGTGGTGCAGTGGGTTAAACCCCTGGGCCGGCAGGACTGAAGACCAACAGGTCGCAGGTTCAAATCCGGGGAGAGGCGGATGAGCTCCCTCTATCAGCTCCAGCTCCTCATTCGGGGACATGAGAGAAGCCTCCCACAAAGATGATAAAAACATCAAATCATCCAGGCGTCCCCTGGGCAACGTCCTTGCAGATGGCCAATTCTCTCACACCAGGAGCAACTTGCAGTCACTCCTGACACAACAAAAAAAAATCTAAATAAATTTTAAAAAAAACCCTCTTTCATTTTCTTAGGCATTGGTGACATATTGCTCCTGGCTAACTTTATTATGAAAAAGAAACAAAATAATAGGTCACAAAACACATTGCATGTCACAAAATTTAGTGTTCTTAAATACTTTCAAATGAAACTTAGAAAAATTTCAGAACCTATAGATTTTCAAAACACACACATCTTTAGTAAGTAAATGGCACTGGGTTCTGTCTCAAAGCTTCTTGTATAAATTATACGTGTCTTAAATAAATAAATAAATAAAAATAAATAAATAAAATTACTTACAAATCTTGTTCCACTTTCTTATCCAATGCATACTCCAAATCCGTTACAAGCATTTTCTGGTATAAGTCCTGTAAAGCCTGTCGGGATGTCCAAGCTTCAGCTGGTCCCAGCTTCGAATCTGGGTAATGAGAAGAACAAGGATTCATTATGCAAGTCAATTTTATCCATTCCTCAGCAAAAGAGTCAATAAGAATCTATACTTTCATCATATCATCAGAAATGGCTATAGATAAAAACAGTACAGTACAAGGCCTGTATTCCCACGGAATCCCTGAAACAGTGGCTAATAAACACTATATTTTGACTATACTAGGGCCAGAAGCATACTATGGAAATATGTTGCAGGACCTAGAGAGGCCCACAAATTCTTGGCTGGGGTGGCGGGTGGGGATAATTTTTGGAGCCAGAGATGTGAAGCTGTAGATAGGGTTCATATTGTAGTCTCAAGTAGGAAATTCAGACTGACAAAAATATGGAAGAGTAATGTATCAATGTATGGTCTGTTATCAGGATAATATATTACCCTTACTCCAAACTTTTGAGATACAATTCTGTGAGTTAGATTAGCACTTCTTTAGAGTGGAGGAGTTGGAGATGAAGATTCCAGGGTAAGAAAGCTAGTAGTAGTGGGAAAAGAATTAGCTTGAAGAGTAATAACACTAGTACATGCACAGAAGTCTATAATTTTACTGGCCTACTGACTTAGCCAAAATTGTTCAGTGAATAACCCACTTGTCATCCAATCTAGATAGTACCCAACCATCTCTACCACTTGATCATGGAGAAGAAGGATGGCTAGTCACTGCATTCATAAGTGGAGAGAGCCTCCTCATAAGCTACCTTAGCATGTGTTAAAAACAGACCACCTATGGTTCTGTCAGCTTTGAATTACCTGTCATATCAGCCTTCAGGACTTCTGCCTGCCTGTAGGTAGAAAACAGAAGAATTCACATTAGAACAATGAATAAAATGGTTACTGCTTTAACCTCTTGATTCTTATAGAATAAATGCAGTTTATTTGAATTTCAATCTGCAGGTGTATCTCAATTCTACTATAATTCTTAAGGAAAAGTCTCCACTAAATATTTTCTAAACCTTTTCAGGGGAATAAATTGATGGTTAAGCTCACACATACATAATAATTACCAAACCAGGATGCCTTGAGTGACTTAACCACAGCACTCAACAAAGATAAGCTAATTATGCAAAATATTCCTAAATCCAGTACTGTCCACATGGGTGGCTGAGATAGTAACACCTCTACTTTCTGACATTCAATGTATAAAAACTTTATTTCATGCACAAAATTATTAAAAATATTTTGTATAAAATATCTTTGATACGTGTGAAAAATTGATTTTTTCGACTTGGATCTTATATTCAAAATAACTCTATGCATATGTAAATATAGTCAGTATTCCACAGTCACTGGGGTTAGGGCATTGGGCCCGTGTGAAAACAAAAAACCACAAATAAAGACACTGGGTTTTTTTTTTTCATTTCAGAGAACATCTCTCTTAGAAATTCTCTGATTTTCCAGAATGGTTCTATGGCTGAATTCCACTAGAAGCTGGCCTTAGAATTGCACTGGAGGATCTAGAGATTGGGTTGTTGTAGGTTTTTCCGGGCTATATGGCCATGTTCTGGATGCAATTTTTCTCCTGACGTTTCGCCTGCATCTATGGCAAGCATCCTCAGAGGTAGCGAGGTTGCTTGCCTCTGAGGATGCTTGCCATAGATGCAGGCGAAACGTCAGGAGAAAAATTGCCTCCAGAACATGGCCATATAGCCCGGAAAAACCTACAACAACCAAGTGATTCCGGCCATGAAAGCCATCGACAAGATCTAGAGATTCCTTAAAAAAAGGCGAGGACCTGTGCGCCAGAGAATTCAAAAGACAGTATTTAAATTGTGTGTGCGTGTGTGTGTAGAGAGAGAGAGAGAGTCATTTCTTCATTTAAATAATGGAAAGACCCAAAACATAAAATCTTTGCAACAATTTCCTTCAAGGTTTCTCTCTGATAACCATTTACAATTAAGAACACTGAATCACCAAAACTGCTTCATTCATTTCCATTTCTCTCACGGCATAAATCAAAATACAACACCTCTATACCCCGAGCAAACACTGAACAAATAAATAAGTTAAAAAAAAAAACCCTCTCTACTGTTAATATGAAATGTTTTTCCTGTGTGCCTTCAAGTCATTTCCAATCCTAAAAAAAGGTAAAGGTAGTCCCCTGACATTAAGTCCAGTCATGTCTGACTCTGGGGTGTGGTGCTCATCTCCATTTCTAAGCCGAAGAGCCAGTGTTGTCCGTAGACACCTCCAAAGTCATGTGGCCGGCATGACTGCATGGAGCGCCGTTACCTTCCCGCCGGAGCGGTACCTATTGATCTACTCACATTTGCATGTTTTTGAACTGCTAGGTTGGCAGAAGCTAGGGCTGACAGTGGAAGCTCACGCCGCTCCCCGGAATCAAACCTGTGACCTTTCGATCAACAAGCTCAGCAGCTCAGTGCTTTAACCCACTGCGCCACCGGGGGCTCCAATCCTAAGGCAACCCTATTACAGGGTTTTCCTCGCAAGATTTGTCTTCCTCAGAGATTGAGTGTGACCTGCCTAAGGTTACTCAGTGATTTTCAATGCTCTAACCACTGCAATACACTGGCTCTCTTACAATATGGTAGTCTTATAAATGGCACAACTCAGTTCATGATTAGAAAACTTTCAAATCCAGGGTAATTTTGAACCACCCTGAAACTGATATATGTTGTAAACACAGGGGGGGGAAACCAAGATGACATGAAAATAAAGGAAATATTAAGTATATTATCATCCATATAAAGGAGGAACACAATATTCACATCACTGAATAACTGCATACAAGGCAGTTGTTGTTCAAGCAGCACTCAATGCAATAGTCCCCATTCAGCAATTCTAGGCTTTCTGTGCTACATCTTCTGTTGACTTAACATTTTTCAAAGGAGTGGCTTACCAACAAGCACAGCAAGATGTCTTATTTCAGGTGATATGAAAAGCCAACTGCTATCTATTTCCTCTGTTGTGTATGAATTTGTATTAAGGAAGCACTTGTGGGAGTTTTTGCCTCAGGTGCCAAAATAACCATCATCTATTTGGGTTGTTGTAGGTTTTTTCGGGCTATATGGCCATGTTCTAGAGGCATTATCTCCTGACGTTTTGCCTGCATCTATGCCAAGCATCCTCAGAGGTAGGATGCTTGCCATTAAAATTACAACAGCAAAACAACAGAGATGAAACAATCAGGGACAGCTAATCACCTCTCAACAAAAGATTGCCCCAGGCACTAACAAGCCATCAAATGCTAATCAAGGCGGTCAGTTGATAACATTCACACCTAGCTCCAACAGACAAGAGTTCTTTGTCCCACCCTGGTCATTCCACAGATATATAAACCCATTTTCCTAGTTCCAACAGACCTCAATACCTCTGAGGATGCTTGCCATAGATGCAGGCGAAACGTCAGGAGATAATTCCTCTAGAATATAGCCCAAAAAAACCTACAACAACCCAGTGTTCCGGCCATGAAAGCCTTCAACAATACATAATTTATTTATTTGGAATATTCCTATCCTGCCTTTCTCTGCAACACAGACCCAAGGCGGCTTACAAACACGATACAAAGATTAAAATCCTTCAGTCAGAACAAAAGAGATAAAACCATGATAAATCAACAACCAATAAAATCCCACATTTCAGTTAAAACCAATACTTTTTCCCATGTATCCCTCCTCCATAAAATCCCCAATTCCTGCTATGGCTCAATTAAAGACCTTGTTAAATAAGAAAGTCTTTACCCCCTTCCTAAAGCTGAGCAAAGATGGAGCAGCCCTATTTCTTCAGGGAGGGAGTTCCAGAGGGCTGGGGCTTCACCCAAGAAGGAGCCTTCTCTAGTTATCCATACACACATACTGGTGGAGGCTCGTGTATTGATTCAAATTTCCCTGCTAAATTCGTGCCCTGGTATGTATCAGAGTACACGGTGCTTCAGATAGGCTGGACTGAAGCTGTACAGGGCTATATAGGTAATTACCAGCACCTTGTATTGGGTCCAGAATCAGACAGGCAACCAATGGAAGTGCTTCAGGATCAGCGTAGTACGCTCACTGAAGTTACTAACCGTTAGAAGTCTGGCTGCTGCTCTCTGAATGAACTACAATTTTTAGACGCTCTTCAAGGGCAAACCTATGTAGAGCATATTGCAATAGTCCAATTTGGACATAACTAACGCCTGCATCACTGAGGCCAGGTCCAGAGTCGCCAGGAACTGGTGAAGTTGGCACACAAGCTTTAGTTGTGTGAAGGCCAACCTAGTCACCGCTGCCACCTGGGCTTCCAGTTTTAAAGCCGAGTCTAGGATTACCCCCCAAACTGCGCAACTGACATTTCAGGGAGAGTGCAACTCCATCCAGCTTGGGTTGAAATGCCGTTCCCAAATCCCTCCTCCAAGACACCAGTAGTACCTCCGACTTTTCTGGATTGATCTTCAAGTTGTTTACCCTCATCCAGTTCATCACTGTGAAGTCAATAGGAACTTTAGGAGGGTCTCCCCAGGAGGAGGGACCCTGAGACCCCACCAAAGAGGAATTGCTACTTTGGCGAGCTAGGAGAAGCCTGATTTCAGAAATTTTTATCTCTTTAAAAATTCAAAAGAAACCTCACCAAAGTTGAAGAAGCGGCACCAAGGTGTTTTTATTAGCGATTCAGCTGAAAAGGATGCAATGTAGCAATCATTCGCCTACAGAGCATGTGGTTACAGAGATCAGAGGCATTTTATAGGAAATACAAGCTTAGAAGTTTCAAAATTCCCGCCCTCCGCCCTCCTCCCGGCTCGAAGGGGATTGGCTGACGCGGTAACAGCTGGGAGGAGGCACGGCCGCTCTCCCTGCGCCACAGCCAATCACAGAGCTTCTCCGCTGTGCAGGAGCCTATCAGGATGCTCCTACTGCCTCAGCGCTCTGGCGAATCAGGAGAGGGGAGGCTGGACGAAGAAGAAAAAAATGGACTGATGAATGGATTATAGGATTTCATGCCTTGGGGTTCTTGAGTCTGAGAAACCGGCCTGCGAAAGATGCCCAGTCTATTATCTTTTGATGGGTCTATGATAAGCGTTGATTGCTTAGGAAGTACTGTGTATATAACCTTGTTATTCTGAGACAAGGCCTGTGTTATAGAAAGACCACTTTAAAAAGGGAAGCTGCCAGCAAAGAACTCAAGTGCTCAGCTTCAACATGATATAATTCAATACAGGATCAGCATGTCTGAACAACTCGAACAGCAACGTGATGTACACTTACTCAGGAGTAATTCAAAGGACTGAGATTGCAAATTACTAGGCCTATTAAAATGGAAATACTGCTACTCTCAAAGAGTTAGATTTTAATTAGCACATTTAGTGAAAGGATGAAATATTTTGTAATAAACAATATCCTCCCACATACATTTAAGGACTTTCTTAAAATTACAGGCCACATATATTTTAGATAGAGGAGTAAACATGGCAAGAGAACCTGGTATTGTTTTGCTTCATCAAATGTAATCTCTCTTTTGCATATAATTTTGCAAAGACAATATTCAAAACACAGCCAACAATATCATGCTATGTTTGCCCACTTTCCCTAAAAATAGTCTTAACCTTGAAACACAAACACCTGCTATTCAAAGCTCCTGCCCAAGCCTTGCTTCCTGACAGCTGGTACCTTCACCCCCAACAGACACTCTCCAATCCCTATTCTTTATTTTAGCAGTTCCTCCCAAATTAACACTACTTGAAAAGTCTCTCTCAAAAGAATAAAACTAATGAGTTATCCATCGCCATTCTTTGATATTAAAGAAAGAATATAAAAGAAAACAGAAGCGCTTTAGTGGTCAATGTGGAAAC